ATTCAACACAATTTTGGTCACTGCCGGGTGGGGTGGGGTGGGGACGCCTCCCACACTCCCCTTGTTCTGCCACTGTATTTATTGTGCTCTCATTTGCACAGTCCACTTAATAAGCGAAACTACGTGTCTGAATTGACTACATTTCAATTGAAAGGGTAGGAAGCATATCATACATGTGTGTAGGTCATTTTGTCAGATAGGAAACTGATATCAAATACTTCCCAACTGAAATGATCAGACCGGCATTTATAGTTCAATCTGCTCAATGTCACACAAAATAATCTACTGATGATCAGACATCCTTCAGATGCCGTAGTTGCCATTGTGTTTATACGTCATCTCTCATGCACATCTGTTTTCATGCTCAGAATATTGTGAGGTACCGTATGCACGTAGGGTGAACCATGGGGTGGCAATAACACACAATGCAATGGCAGATCCCAAACTATCAAATATCATCAACTATCCAGAACCTATATCACTGCTTTTATTATTTTCCAGATGAACATACATGTACAACATGTACATTTACATGTGTACATGTATGAACTGGTAGAAATGAAAAACAGTAATTAAACTACTTCTACAGACAAGATCAAGTTGAATCTAAAAAGGCCACAGTCTGATAATATAACACTTGATACAGTGCCAAGATAAGCTTTTATCCAACATGGCTGCTAACATATGGCTGCCAGAAAATATCATGTGATAAGTGTAGCCTTCATTTATTCATTTCCAAACTCAATGACAGCACCGTACCAGGATAATTGATTCATCTCTTTGTTTCTGACTGTGTTTACTTATCAGACCTGTACAAAATACAGGTCATTCTGGGTGCAAAAGTGCAGGCAGGATGTCCAAACAAAACAAAGTTCAACAAGGTCAGACAGAGTGAACGTGTTAGATCTTTAACCTTATATCAGCTCAGGTTTGGCAGACATTGAGGAATGTTGCAACATATGCAGAGCAGTGCTTTTAAAATATTTAATACATGTGCTGCTGTAACTTACATTGACCTTTCGTGCAGTAATTTGCATTAGTCTCCCAGTAGACTCTAGTTTTTTTATAGGGTAGTATTTACCACTGTTTATGGCATACATGTATGTGTAACATCTGGTTTTGCGTAACATTTGGATGAATTCATAATCTTTTGATATTGGCTCCTTGGAAAAACAATTGCTTTATTAGTGCAAATGAGAAAACAAATTGTCATATTAATATGGGACTTCTGTGTGTTATTTAAATCCTAAGCATGGGCACCTTAATTATAAATCCCCAACTGCCTTGGCATTTTTACTAGGATGTAACCTCATGTAAAAATAGCACACAGCCTGAATCCTGCAAAATCGTCTGTTAGTTCTTGTTGATGTGGTCTTTGGAGGGAATCCTCCGGCAATCACTGTCAATATGTCATGTATGTTGAGGCAAAGTCAGTGACATCCTGGAGCAGTGCGGAGGATTGCAAGTATTTATAGGCCTATTTATAGGCCTGAGCATAAACAGCACAAGTCCTGCCCAAGACCTTGACACAGTCCATCCTCCGAAATCGGCAACACACTTTTGCCATGTAGCCTCAATCCTGCAAAATCCTCCATTTTGCAAAGAGGATTTTGGAGGATTTGGGAAGGTTAGGGTTAGCTAAAAGGATATCAAGCAATATGATGTGAAATGGTTTGCCCACTTCATATGATTTTCTGTGCTGACTAGGCAGTAGCCACCTGTACTATACATACATGTACTTACACTATTCATGTACCTGTCAGTTTGCATTCACGCATGTATGATGTACATGTATGTAGCTGGGGTTAGCTTGCTGTTCACGATTGGGGTTCACTCTGGGGTCACCGTGACCCTGAGGAAGGACGGAAAGATGGAAGAGATGGGGGTTGAAACTGTAACTGTTGCCTTCTATAGTAACCCTGCCACATGAATGGCATCAATCATGTTGATGGGAGTATGCCTTTTCACACCAAACAAATCTCGGGTTGACAGAGGGTTGATGCAGGGTTGAAAACATGCAGGGTTTTACACTTGAAAAATTTCAACCCTGCGCCAACCCTGCGTCAACCCCGACATTGATTTCACCCCAGGTTGGTTGAACTCAACCCTGCGTTAGACCTGGGTTGAGATTTTAAACCCGAGTTGAAATTCTTGCCAGGTTTCAAAACAGTGGTAAACGAGCGAAATAAGCTCGGTTTGCAAGAAACAAATGTTAAACGATGCGGGGTTGACGAATAAAAACTCAACCCGAGGGGGGGGGGGGGGGCACTGGGTTCGCCCAGCTTTGAGTCCAACCCGAGTTGAGAAGCTCTAGTGTGAAAAAGGAAGAAGTGAACCCTGCCAAATGACAAGGAAGGGTATACATGTATGTGATTTAGACATGTTACATTACGGTATGTACAGAATGTATCTATTCCAAGCATTCAGTTTTGATATAAATAAAATGTACGTGTTGATAGAGTACAGCACTATCAAGATTTTGCATAGCAATGGATGCGTAATTGTACATACATGGCACATGTACCGGTACTGTACACATTACCTTGTACACACATGTAATATTGACATGCAGTCTGTTGTTGGAGGTTTTATTATCATTTAATCGATCAGTTATCACTTGCATGAGAGCCAGACATGATCTGTAGACTGTTCATGTTGCAAACCATAGCAGTAGACCATGATGGGAACATTTTGGTAATCTTTTTGTATTAGAGAAACCAGAAAACTGCAAAGGTCACAAAAGATGGAACAAAAACCAGAGATGCTCAAGTACCAGTGCACGATTTGTCTCATTTTGGAATTACTGTCTATAGTGAATGCATACCCCAAGATGACCTGCAGCAGAATAGCAAAACTGATCATTTGTCATACGCTTACAAAAATTACAGGTTCTGCCTGCATTCCTGTAGATTAGTTACTGCGCTTATTGCAGCTTTGGGTAGAATTAACCCCAGAGTTACATGTATAAATCATGGAAACTGTATATCACAGAACTAAAAAAAATGGTTGCCTTTTGTGACAGACGAACAAGAGTTTCAATTCATTCTCCTGTTTGTTGGAAGTGTTTCCATTCGTAAATAACCGATAATCTAATACAAATAGGGTCAAATTGCTTTCATATTTGTTGTCTGCAGCAATCCATCATAAATTCCATTCTGTCTGGCTGGAGCCAAGGCCTACCTGTCAGAACGGCAGGCATTTTTTTGATACTCAAATCGGCCTACCTTTCAGGGACCTGGTCTCTGCACCAATTTGTCCTACTTTCTGTGACCCTGAGACTTCATGGCAGAAGTCTGTAAGGTTATGAAGGTGAAAAATACATTCATTTGAATGTCCTGTCATATGCTAAATATATTAAATCTAAATCTTTTTCTTGTGGAGTTGTTTAATGCTTTTAATTCAGAAGCATAGAGCCACTTTTAGACAGTGAAAATTATCCAGGAGCTGTTGATTTAGACTTACATGAATTTGTCTTAAAAATCTCAACGTTTTAGGGAAGGTTCAGGTTTTTATCAAGCAAATTTGCAACAAATGCACACGTTTCTCTGGCTGTTTGTTCATTTAAAATTTAAGAGCCAGGGTTATAGGAATGCCCTAGATTATACTAGTGTGATGTAGGGGAATGAATGATGCATGCGGCCACCTTGCCTTCCCAGGGGCAGGCTTGAATAATACATGAGAGTTGGAAACTTGACTGCCATTTGGGTCACTGTGTGATGAATAGAACCACTGAGGATTGTTGGGGGAAAAGGCTGCACTTTGGATGCACCCAATATTGCCCCAAAATGTGACGGTCACAATAATGCAGTCTCTTTCTCAACTCACTGGGTCATTGTACACATTGACACATAAACTTTTTATAACCCTTTATGTGGCTCATAGTCTGTGAACTTCACAATTGAAAAACATAATTTGACCCACATTTGAAAGTAGTGACAGTCTATGTTCCTACATTTTTTTAACTAGAAAATGCTATAGATAGTCCAGCAGATATGTGACAAAATATCGATAAATTGTGCACTTTTGCATAAAAGCGTGAAACTTGGCACAGATGTTCCTATTCATGTCAGAAAATGTTTTAGATGTGGCGCCATTGCAAATTCACCTTTTTAGGGGCATGGCATCCATTAAAAATAGGGGGCCGGGACTCATCATGCCCGCATTTAAAACGGTTGTTCCCACTTAAGTGTGCGTTTATGAGAAGACCATGCAAAATCCTGAAAAATCGACAAGGTGGGGGGTCAGCGAATTAAGTTCAAATCTTGGCCATTTGATCCCCACCTGAGACGATACCACTCGGTGGAGTAGCTCGATAAATAATCACACGGTGGCCGAGTACGGGGCACCGACAATTTTGAGCAAAAAGGGTGACTTCCGGGGAGTAAATTTGTGTTGTTTCTGGTGTAAAGTTATAGCCTCGTTTAAACCCTTAAACTAAGTCGTTTACTGTCGACCTACATATCAAAAGAAAGGGTTTAATCTCCTCTAAACGATAAAATATAAATCTTTGATGTGCAAGCATTCACTTCGGAGATATAGGCGTAAGAAAAACACGTATCAGCTCTATTACGAAATGAAGTCCTTTACGCGGTAAACCATAACTTAATTAATGCAGGGCTGAGAGTCAACAAACTTGAAGGAAATATAGTTCAGATATTCGACTACAATAATAAAAAATAAAAAAGCTGTCAGCTCTTCTTGTTTTTGTTTGCTCACGGTCAATAAAGTTGAAAAATTCCTGATTTTCATGACCAAACCTACATAGCCCCCTAGACAGTTCCGAGTGCAATTGGTTGCCCTTAATTGACATTTTGCAAGAATTGTTGTAAGAGCGTAACAAAATCTACATTTTGCAGCCTTCACCTATTGGGTAGGTGGGTGAGTGGTATATCTTTGGTGGTGCGCACTGATCCGGTAGGAGGGTAACGTCCTGTTGCCGCCCACCCACTTAGCGCGCGGTATCGAAAGGGGGCGCCCTCGCATACATTACCGTCAAAATGGCGGCCATGGACATGCCGTCTGTGCGGCTGCAATGTGATTTTAGTAATTTTGAGTATAGCAAAGCCATCGAATGTGGTGTCAATCCCTCTTATCCGCGCGAACTAAATACAGTGCAACTTAATCGATGCACAAAAAACATACGGAGCCATTTGCAGAAGTGGAAAGTCGCTGCATATGATGTGAATGTCGAGTGGAAACTGATCCTCCTGCGATGTGGTTTGTTCGACGTCGATGCATACACTGATAAGACAATATGTCCAGCGCATAGATACAAGTTAGGGTTCAGTTGGACTTCATCAAGGAAATGTTGTCATCCACTCCATAAAGGGAAAGGCAAACCATTCCGTGGTGTGAATAAAGCAACTAGCCGTGAGATGTTTGATCGATGGGGTACCCTGGTCACAGTTGGAACAGGTAAGACTAAGATTAGAAGACAGAAATCAAACAAAAACACATTTCTGAAATGATGAATCAGTCATGGTCATGGTCCATTTCTGATCAACTGATTTTGTTTCTGGGAAGGTCATATCAATTAAATCCCTTATCATGCAGTTGACTTGGGACCAGTGAAATGTATTATTGTGTGAAAAATTAAAACTGGTTTTCATGGTTGTCACAGCTCTGGACCACACACATGGTTTTCGGCAGTGGACACACATGGTGGATATTTAGCCGGAACTGGATTTTGATTTTTTTTGTATATAAAGAAAGTTGGAGCTGCACTTAACATGCGCAGTTTGGGGAATGAAACAAATATTTGTTTTGCACTTACATAGTTGTTTTGACTTTTATTCATGAGATGTGACTCATCAGACCATTTATAAGAACAATTTCAGATTTGTTTCCCCTTTTATACGAATCCTCCAGAGCCAGCCACATCAGAAAAAGAAAAAGTAATAAGTGCAATTAAATACAGTCAATCTAAAATAAAGAAGATTTTTCATTTTTTGTTTATTTATTAACTTTTTTTTTGGGGTGTGGGGAATTTATGAGATGGGTTTTGTTCAAGGGATCTATTGCTCAATATTGTTGGTTACATACGCCCCGCTTTATTATTTATATCTTTTACTTTAAAAAATATATTAAGCCTGCTGCGGCCTTAACACTTTAATTCTCACTGTTCATATGACTTTCAGGTATCTGTAGAGGTTGTCTATCTAAGCACAAACAAGCAGTTACGCACCAGACAGCGGAACAATTACCACCTAGCGATGTGCTCTCTAAGGAACAAGTAGAGCAGCAGTGTACAACCAGTGATTTCACATCGCCGGCTGGTGTACCATCTCTCCAACCCACCGACACAGAGTGCACTTCAGTTCATGAGGTAATGAGAGTGAACTAAGAATGGACCTTGACATATTGCATCTCATTTATCATGTTTGTCACAGATGAATTGTAAGCACTCTTCTTTGAGTACATAAATTTGTATTTCAACCCTGTTATATGTAGCACACATCTCACTGTTTTTATTTTCTCATGATTATTTCTAGCAGACATCCGAGTCCTCATCAACTAATGGAGATATAACACAGGATGTAGGTGCACTTGACTCTTCTTGGGCTCCAACCCCCCGACCAAAGAATGTGAAGCTGCAATCCCTGAACACTTTCCTTACTCAGGGTGGAATGTCTGCTGTTGATGGGCAGCTTCATCTGTCATTAGACAAAGCATCTGATAGCACCATCCGTTATTATAGAAGGAAGGCAAAGGAAGCCTTTGGTTTAGTTCTTCATTGTTTAGCACCAGGTCAAGAAGATGGGCTCATGAAGATTACCATCGGTGAAACAACTGCTGAATCATCACAAAGTGGTCAAGATTTTGATAGTAGTACCCGTTCTCTAGTCGAGTGCTATCAAACTGCAGACAACTGGTGTACCAAGCGACAGATTTTATCAATATTGGCCCGTAACATGACAAAGCAAAGACTACTGGTAAGACAATGTATATTTTCCCCTTGAACTTTTCGATAATTTTTGTCAAAGACAACATACAATGTACAAACATTTTACAAATCGTTTGATGTAATTTCTTTCCGTCACCATGGGACCTTTCATACTGGTTTTAACTGTAATTGATTGTATTGTATTGAAATTTCGATACATTTTTAGTAAACAAAGAAAAGATGACTTGAGCAGTACTTAAACCTGCGACGTCCGGGTTGACATGCCGGTATGCTACTAACTGAGTTTAGTATGTATGTTAGCGCTGTCCTTAGCCGTATGTTAGTGCTGTCCCTATTTTTGACAATATCTTATTGACAGTAAATAGGGAGACCGCCAACGTAGGGCTAGGTAGCTCAGTTGGTTGGTAGAACACAGGCAGGTCAACACAGAGGATGCAAGTTCAAATCCCGCTCTTGTCAATTCTTCTTTGTTCACCCAAAATGTATCCAAAACTTTACCCTGTGAGTTTTCCTTGTAGTTTATAATAATAATAATAATAAAAAAATGTGTGTAGCGCCTTATGCAAGGCCTCAAAGCGCTTTACAAAATATACATAAATCAACAAATATATTTCACAGAAAGTACACGCTAAATATTATCAAGAAGAAAAACAATCAATTAAAATACAGCATAAGTTAAATAACAGCATTCCAATTAAAATTCCAATAACAATTTTCAAACTACAAATAATAAGAGGGGAGAGGTTACCAGCACATTCACCCTCGGCCAAGATCCTCAGCATCTGGCATTTACAGCAAAAACATTATTACATGATGCAATTTTTTTTATTCTTGTTCCATTGTTGCAGCAACTGATTCCAGGGCTCACCATATACCGGATAGATGCAGCCAGAAAGCATGCCAAGGAAAGTGGTGGAGGGCAACCTGTGGAGTTGGAGCCAATAACACGATCAAGACTACAAAAGACCAAGGTTGATCACTTCATTCAATTCATCTCACGCCCAGAGTTTGTTCAAGACGTTGCATTTGGGACCAGGAGACTGAAACTCACTCAAGGAGAAAAGATTGAAATCCCAAATGTTGTACGAACTGTTGTCGTGTCTCGTCTTGTTGATCTATATCAAGTTTACTGTCACGAGACTGGATTCACTCCACTGGGTCGTAGCTCACTGTTCAGTATCACTCAGGTGAGAATTGTGTAATTTTTAATCCTCGTAAGTGAATTTTTTAAATTCAATTCAATTCAATTAAAGGGGCTATGAAATAAGATTTTTTATGACTTTAAACAACTCTGTCTTCAATCTGACGACAAAAATTCACCCTTTGATTGCCAAATTTGTTTTTTTTAAACTTGTTTCTGAATTTTGTGTTTTTATGCAAATTGAATTTTACATATTCATGAGCAAATATGTGATATTTCAAGGCAAAGCTGCATCATGGTTGGTTTGTGCACAAAAAAATACAGATTTTTTTGCTTTTCTTCAAATGAGCCCTTTAAACATTTATTTCATACTTTCCAATTCCATACATCAAATAGGTAAAGACATACAAAATAAGTCAATACATGGACTATAAAATATATTAAAAAGCAATAAGAAATAAGGGGAAAGTATGGGGCTGTTAATGGTAAGCCGGGGCTTTACAGACATTATGAAAATGACACAGACAAATGGACAGGGAAAAAAAAACTGGACAAACAACAAAGAAGAGAGACGGAATCATCAAGACAAAGACAAGAGGGAAAATGACAATAAATTCAATAATATGCAATGTCACAATGGGAAGATGACAATCACAAAGTGTCACAGCGCTAACACACTTAAGAATAAATGGTGCAAATCCGGCAAAAGTGAAGAACGAGCATTAGTGTATTTTACTGGCAAATTGTAAAATCTGTCATCTTTTTTTTTCTTTGTTTCTATACATGTAGGTTGGACATTTAAAGCATCATTTTGGTCAATGAGTTTCAAATTTTCATGATGCATTGATTCTTTCACAGGTTTGTGCTGCTGCCAAGAAGAAATCTCTCTCCGGTCTGGATAATATTGCTGCCGAGGCCTCTGAAGGGTTTGATGCAATGGACAGATTGATAGGATTGCTTGGTGAATTTGGTGAGTTTTCTACCGCACTCAATCAACAGCTGCATTTTCACTGGTATGCCCAAAGTCTCAATTGAATCAAGATCAAGTGTAAGGACCATACTGAGGATCTAGAGTAAAACAAAACTAATTGCTAAGCTTTGCTTTTATTGTTACAGGCTTTTCAAGTTCGTGGGTAGATGAGCACAAATCTAGACTCCGAAGCGTCCGCCAATACCTTAAATCTGACTTCAAACTCCATGTTGAGGAAAACAGTCCTTGTCCTGATCACTGTTGGACTTACGCACTGAGTACTAAAGACTCTTGCAGTCATCCTCATAACGTACACTGTGACATGTGTGATGATCTACGTCTTGTGCTAAATGAGGTTGAGTTCTCCGTATCAAGTGTTGACACGAAATACAAGTAAGTTTTTCAGGGTGAACTATGAACAGGCATGAGAACCTTCGGGTTTAAACCGTAATTCCATTTTTTCCCTTTCAAATTTGTGGTCTTCAAGTTCAGTGTGAATTTGATATTAAATTTGGGGGATGAGGTGTAGGGAGTGTACTTGTGGATTTCGCTAATCTCTCTTCTTGAATCAGAAATTGTAAGTTTACCTTTCGTGAAAAAAAATGGCACGTTAACAATAAATTCCCGCCCGGCCGCCGGTCCGATTTGCCGTGATTGTTTCTTCCAAGCATTGCATATTTGCAGCAAGCAAGACGCAATGTTTATGACGGGGTATAGACTTCTCTCATTCCTCGCTTCGTTCATGATATGGTTCATTAATGTTTGACCGTAATAAATATACTGCTGCAGCAGAGGTACATGTGTGGGGACTTTGGAAAGTCTAAAAGATATTAAAGTCTGGCCACTTGGTAGTACATGTAAACAAGGCATAACTGTCTAGACACAGACTCAATGCACATTGTACAGCATACACATACACAGGGCTTATCTGCCATTTTAAAAAAATTTTTAAAGATTTATTTCACCAAACACATTTAAACAAATCACTGAAAATGCTTCAGACTGCACAGTACAGCATTTAAAACCAAAAATAAACATCCTGTAAAAACATTCATATTTTCACGCGCTTTTGCTATTATAAACGTAAAAAGTGGATTTCCTTTGTTTTTTTATCATCACCCATTCTCATGCCTGTATGAAACTTCTTACACATCAATGTTTTCTATCCATTTGAAGTTTCTCGATGATTCATATTCAATACACTGATTTTTATACTGTGAATCTTTAATTTATTCCAGGTACCCATCACAGAAGGATGAAGTAGCATATGATTTTGAGTATGCCAAGGACCGCATCATTGCTCTAAAAAATCATGCTGTGCGATCAATGGCTCAGGCAAAGTGCAAAGGCGATATACTTGCGAATCTCACCTCTTCACAAGCACATTTGACCATGGATTGGGCAATGAAGTTTTTGCCCAGGCGATTTAGGGAAGCCCAACAAGACTGGTTTGGCAAGAGAGGGATATCCTGGCATGTGACGGTTGCTGTAGTGAAATCTGGTATTGAATTTGAGGTAAGAGTTTGATGATACAATCACTGAAAATACTTTGTACCATTCCCAGTTTTCTATTGACTTTGCAGATTTAATAACAAAAAAAGTGCAAAAATTACAAGCAGATCCTCTCAAGTGCTCACAATGGGTTGTCAATGAAACCTCATTGTAAGAGCATGTGTTGCTATAATCCTTGATTTGTCACTTGAATGAAACGGTACTTTTAATTTCACCCTTACACTGCATACTCCAGTCCTTTTCGAGTACTGCTAAACGAAAACACTGGCATGTCAGATGGGAAATGAACTTACAAAAAACGGAGTTCAAAAACCACTTGACTTTACCATATTTGTTCGCAGGACCAAGGAAAGCACTGAATATACATGTACAGTGCTCACTACACATCGGCGAAGGGGTAAATAAAATAAATAATAGTTTTAATTCTTTATCCTAGATTTTAAATCTTGCACCATAAAAATAAAATTGTGTTTCTCTTTTTATCTTCAGATTTTGTGCTTCGTCCATCTTATCCAGCAGTGTGTTCAGAATTGGTGGAGCGTCCTATCAGTATTGGAAGCCTCGTTGCTTGAGCTGAAACGAAGGCGTCCCAACATCAATGAAGTCTATCTGAGGTCAGATAATGCAGGATGCTATCATTGTGCACCTCTTATCCTTTCCATGGCAGATCTCTCTAAGAAGGTGAACATCGACATTCTCAGATATGACTTCTCCGAGGTACAGGCAGGTAAAGATATATGTGATCGAAAAATAGCGCCAATGAAAGCCCACATTGAGCGGTACATCAATGAAGGCAACAACGTACTCACTGCTGACGACATGCACTCTGCCTTAGAGTCCTACAATGGTGTGAGAGGATGCTATGCATCTGTTCTGAAGATTGGTGACATGCCTTCTTCCCGTGGGACTTTGAAATGGCCGGGTGTTACCAACTATACCAATTTCTGCTTTGAGGAAGGTGGTGTGCGCTCCTGGCTTGCTTACAACATCAGCGACCAGTTCCATCCATACGCAAAATTGATGAAGCAACCACTCGTACCACTGATCACCACTTGCACTGTTGGGCAATACACAGAGCCCAAAGTTGTAACGGGGGCATTTCGTCAACAAAGGGATGATGTCCAGTTCTCCTGCACGGAATCAAATTGTGTCAAAACTTTCCCCACTGATGAGCTCCTCACTAATCATTTGGCAGCAGGACGTCATATGTTTCGTCCCCTTAAGGAATCTCGCTATGACCAGATTGCACGTCAGTGGGCTGAAAAGATTGGTGACATGCGAGCTGGCACCTCACATTCGAGTCAAGGTGGTGTGATGGTGAGATCAGAAGAAGCACCTTCAGCCTCCATGTCCCTGGCAATCCAATCTGGATGGGCTTGCAAAGTGTCTAAGGCGAAGAAGAGGTTCTCGCAGCAAGTCAAGGATTTTTTGCTTGCCCAATTCATGGTTGGTGTTAACACAGGAAAAAAAGAAAACCCACAAACTGTTTCCCAGCGCTTCAAAAGTCAGTTCCAGAGAGATGATTGGTTGACTGCCCAGCAGATAGCCAGTTACTTTTCACGTCTTGCTGCCCTACACAAATCAGGGACACTGCCACCTAAGGGCTGGACTGATGTGACAAATAATGCTGTAGAATTGGTTGAACGACAGCTTCTCATGGATGCTGTACAGAAGCAGTGTGAGCTTTGAGGCAGTGATCTAAACCTGATGTCCCTGATTGATATTCTATGATTTTTTGCATTATTGTATCATGTATACTCAGTGATTACCACACATTGGTGTGAAGGTTAAAATTTAAAAAAGGCAATCAGAAGACAAAATAAACACCTAGACTTCATTTAATTTTGTTAATAACTCAATGGTGACAATTTATTTTATTTATTTACATACTCGTATATTGTGCAAGGAGGTCCAATGTTATGTGCAAGGAGATCAAATGTTATTTTGCACAATACATGTACATGTACATGATCATGTAAATAAGAAAAAAAATACTGTCACTTTTGTGTTTTTAGTTCAGTTAAAGTGAAATCTTGTTGTATTTGTTTTGTTTTTGACTAGCCTTATTTTCAAGAGGACCGTAGCTGTGCAGCATGGGGCTTTACCATGCGTGGTCCAACCAAAGATGGTATAGCGCCGTAGTTGCAAGATGGATAACTGACACATACATGCGAAGTGTGTTTTGCTGCCATTCTTGTAAGCAGCGACAGGTTTTATTCATCGATTATGCAGAAACAGCGCACAAACCAAATTACACATCATCATGCAATTTCCCGACAGCTTTCAAGTCGTCAGTGTAAACGTGGAGTGCATTTATCAATCATTTTGCTTCCTAAAATGGCGTCCAGTGCATACATGTACTTTAATCATTGACGCACATTTTGGGGTTAGTGATCCATCTTGTGTCCAGGGCGCTATCAAATCTTTGGGTCAAACACACTATGGCCTGACCACTTAAAACATCCAAAAGCTTGCACTTATAGCTACTCAGTGGTCCACACCAATCAAAAAGGGTAAATCGCTTGGAAGAGGGGGTCAGAAAGATGACATAAATTAGGATTTTTGAGTTTACATGTAATGACATAACTAAGCGCAAATTTCGGTTACTTGGCTCTAATCCTGAGGAAATGGTCATCTTCACTAAAAAATCAGGATAGTACAGCATTATAGAATTGGTCAGCACTTACCACAACTATTCACATATTTTTTGGGACGAAATATACAACATTTTGAAACAACTATTTAACCTGTTGATATTTTGACCAGTCTTGGGCAACATACCAACTGTGTTTGCTTAACTGCATTTGATCACCGCATAATTTTTGGACTTCCCAAAATATGAATAGGGTCGTTAGGTCATACATGTATGTTTTTGTAAATGACTGCATTTGATCACCGCATAATTTTTGGACTTCCCAAAAAATAAATAGGGTCTTTTGGTCATATGTTTTTGTAAATGTTTTTTAGTGAATTTATTGAATTTTAAAAAGAATTTTCCTTTTTTTCCCCTGAAAAGAGAGAGTGATGAGTCACATGATAGTGTTTAATGCCTTTTAGAAATTCAAAATGGCCGCTACATCCGGCAACCATCTTAGATTTGATGTTTTCAGCCTGTAACTGGAGGGTCAAATTAAATACATTTTTTTAAACAATAGGATGTTTTTAATTTTATCATCTATTTTTATTTCTCATTTTTTTCCTTTTATTTACATCCTTTTTTACCAACATTTTTGCAGTAGTGGATCCAAGTTCTCTTCCTTTACCTTTTTTTTGTGTTTAAACAAAGGGTTATCATGGTTTGTTATTGGAAGACAGTGACTGTTCTCGTTTTTTAATGTCAGACTTTGTATGGATTATACAGTTACCTTTTTTTCCTATCTTTGGAAAAAGCATCCAAGTGTGGGTCTAGTAGTTTCAGTTTGAGTTAATTTAAAAAGGAAAAAGATTTTTTTTATTTATATTCAATTGGGTTTTTTTCTTCGAGTTTGATCGTTAGGTCGTTCCATGTGTCAGTCTATTTTGATACTGTGTTGGTTCAGTTTTCTTCTTTCAACCTCCATTTAAGTTTAAAGTTCAATTTAGTTTTGTACAGTTGACTCTCGTTATAGCAAGGTCGGTGAGATCGCCCAAACTACCTCTTTAAACAGAAACGTTGCTATAAAAGGACAAGTGCTCTTTATAACATAAGTCGACTGTAGTACTACCATTTTTCTTATTTGGTTGTGGGAATAACAGGTTTAAGGTTTGTGAAAAAGTTAATTTGGATCCTTTTGATTATTGGGGTTTTTTTTAATGGTTTTCTTCAAATTTTGGTTGGTAAAATAAATCTTTTTTTTATTTTGTCTTTCCAAAAATTTGTTTGTCATTGTTTCTATTTATTCAAATTCCTCTCTACTTGTTCCTACCCCATCTAGGTCTATCTCATTTTTGACAGCGAGTACCCCAACATTTAGCGTTTTTCTCATTCAATTTATTATTTTCCAAGTTTATTAATTTTCCAGGTTACATTAACATGCCAAAAAAATAACAGAATTGTCATCCAAGCCTCAACATTCCAACATTTGGTGCACGATATGTGGCAGGGTGTACCCCCCCCCACCCCACCCCCATTGTGTCTTCATTGTGTTCTGGTAATCTCAGGAATTCTTTAGAGGATTATTGGGGGATACTTCTGTTAACAAAAAGACAAGTGTGTGTTGAGTACAGGAACATTTGTGGGGCCTCCCTCTGCCACAAATCGGGCAGGGTTTACATTCCATCCTGGACTCTGAAAGGTGGCGGCCATATTGATTTAAAGTGAACCCCGCCCCATCCTAAAAATGGGATAAATTAAGGGATTATAGCACCCCTAATGGTGTTTCCAGTATTAAAATAGGTTTTAATTATATTGATCATGAAAAAATATACACCTTTGCCCATTTTCATAACATTCAAGCAAAAAAGACGGAAATTATGTGAGAAATACATTTTTTTACCAAAAAGGTGCAAAAAACATTAAAAACGCCCTCTATTGAAGATTTTTTATAACATTTTTGACGTCATTATTTACAACTTGGAAAAATAAAACTTGGTGGCAATTTTCATGAAAATTGGTTGTCGACTTTTGAAAATACAGAAAGGGGGGGGGGGGCACTTTATGCCCCTCCCCTGTCCCTTTACTAGCGAAAAATAGGGGTAAAACAGGCTCCTGCCATTTCATACTAAAAACTGCTGACAATGTTTTTATTATTGATACTTGAAGACCATGATAAGAACTCTCTTTCACCTGAGTTTCATTGTTCAAAGACCTGCACTAATGACGCTACGGCGACTTAAAGATCGCTATTTCTATGACTCAACTTTAGGGGTACCCTTAGTGCTGTTGCCTCTTAAGAGCAATTTTTTTTTTTAATTTTGCTTCCAACGTTTAGGTCAGGATACAAGCTCAAGAGCCTGCAAATTTCATTATTCTGCTGCTTTCCTCTGTTCAGCAGCAAGCGTTTAAACTTTTGTACCCCAAAATCATCAAAAACACCAATTTTTCACTAAAAGAAACACATTTTGGCTGTTTTTTCTGCTACAGAGGTCAGATTGGCCAAATATTTTGTACAACCTCAAGGCTACCTATGACCCACCTACCCCCCAAATTTTAACCAAATCCGCCGACCCCCACCTTGTCACGGTCTGCATGGTCCTCTCGTGGACATACTCTTAATTGTCACAAAAACCAAGAAACTTCACAAAGACATAATTATAAAGATAATAAGTGTTTTCCAGATTTGGAGCCACCACAAAAGTACCTTTTTGGGGGCGTGGGGGCCATTTATAAAAAGGATTGACACATTTTGTTTTTCAATTTTCGTTGATCCAGCAGGCTTCACACTGTGATGTTGGTTGTTAAATGGTTAAAGATCGTGGTGAACGAAAAATTGCGAAAAAAAATTGTAAACAGCCATTTGATTGTCTTTTCTTTTCTGTCATTTTTTCCCTTTCAAATTCACTGCAGGAGGTCAAAGGTGGCAAATCTTACGTCAAGTACGGTTTTGCAGATGTCAATCTGGCAGAGTATGCAGGCTCAGGTCGCATGACAAGGCGGTATCTGCTTGAAGGATACGACACGCGGAGATTAGACAACAGTATTCTTAAGGTGAAAGTTCTCTCTTGTTTTCATTTGAAAGGGAAAAGTGCTGAACGAGGCCTACAATTTTGTGTAATTTGTAGCTTGGCCCTGGATCTTGGATTGGCATGGCGTGCGTGGTAAACAGACCATGTTTTGATTTTGGAGATGAGGGGTTGGAAATGGATTGATGAGACAGCTGGATGCTTTGCAGCAAATTACTTCAGTCTTCACCCAGTCAAGGAACAAAAAAGCTGGGAGCGTGAAGTTGATTGAGGCCATCCCAATCAGCCACACTCTGTGAGGTGGCAGAAGTTGTCAATGCTAAATTCCCTATGGAGCTGCAGTGTTTTCTGAATACATGTAGATTTATTGGCCAGAAATAAGGTCAATTGGTTGTGATCACATTGTAGGTCCAATAGACCTTTATCATGCTGCCACCATTTCAGTCATGTTCCCTGTATCCAATAACAGTACTGAAAGATAATGTTTCATGTGCAAAAAGGAACCAGACTATTTTTCCTTCCAGTCTCACTTTGGTTACGTTGATTTGAATGGGGAAAATCACGATGGCTGCAACATGATAATGGTCAACTACTATAATCGACTACTTCTTGTTGTTTTATACATGTATTCTTAGTCTTATCCTTAACTCAACTTATTTGTCTTTCATGTTGTATAGGTTAACATAGACATGACGTTATTATCCGGAGATCCGTGCTTCAAAGCGTAAGTACCTGGGGGAAACCACCCACTTTCACTTTCCTAATCAAGAGAAGGGACGTAAACAATTCCTGAGTTAATTGTGTCAGGACCCTTGACCTTAAAGGAAATAGGTGTGATTTTAATGCCCAGGCAAACTGGCACATTGTTTTTTGTGTCAACAATGCATGCTTCCAAGTGCTTCTGCATTCTATTGAGTTTGAATTGAAAATTGCATAACGTCGCATTGTGTGAAGCCACAATTCTGCAAAAATTGCCAGCAAAGTTTTTAAAAAATCTAAATTGGGAGAATCATCCTTTGCCGTAATAATTTAAATTTGGTTCAAAATAATGTCATTAGAGATACAATGAATAGGTTGAGAATGCTTGCGCTTTGCAAAAACACTCTTTTGCATTGTGGTTCATTGACCTTTGAAATGGTAAGCAAGCAATGTTTTATTACATCTAACACACCTGTCGAGCGATAGTTATTATGGGGACCGAAAACACTATATGGGGACCAAAAACACTATATGGGGACCAGCAGAAAGTCCCCATAACTCGGTCCTAATTACCCTAACAATAAAAAACTTGCCCCATAAAGCGATGACGGCTCGCCCACACATGCACACTTACACGCTGGCCACTGTATAGCCAAAAGTGCCAACATAATCTCATATCTTCTGTTGCCCAACATTGTCCTAAGAAATTAAATTACATACCACATGGGAATTGTACGCTGGGAATTGGAAGGCAAATTGAAACGTGAGAATGACCCAAATTCCAGTCTTGTGCACTTGGCCTTGGGAGGGACCACAGCAGTATACATTGAACATTAACCTTGAAGTTGGATCCGCTTACGGTGTGTTGTCACAGAGTGGCGTAACCTGTCAGGATTTGAAGCCATTTTGAGTCTCGTGTCAATCCAAATGTTGCCTTAGATTTAATAGCTGCAACCAAGAGTCGGACTACATACCACTGTAGTCTTGTCAGGTGCATACCTACATGTATGTTCCCCAATACTATGTTCCCCAACCCTAACCCAAACCCTAATCATGTAACCCTAATGAATGCGAATGCGAATGCGATGCGAGAGGTCGTCTTCATCCGACGCTTTCTCGGGAACCTCTGATGGTCCCCTTCCACGCATCCCGGTCCAGCATCAGCGTCCTCAGCTCAGTGGTATCTTGTTGCGCTGCGTCCCTCTTCAGCCTGACCCCAACCCTAAGGATTTTGGGGAACATAGGTATTGGGGAACATCGGGTAGACCCCCTCTTGTCAATATGATTGTAGAATGTTTTGAAAAACTGTGTCACTATTACACAGGATGTAACCCAAGTTGTTAATTTCATGTTTTGAAGAATTTAGGAACATTTATCTGAAAACTGCTGGCCAAAACTGTCCTACATCCATAGACAACCTGTTAATATAGTCGGACATATAACAAGTTAGTACCCATGCAAATCTTTATGATGCCCGTTTTAGAATTGTCAGCATGGTAGTTTGATAGTCATTTAAGCCTAAAAATTAGGTTGGTTTTTTTTTATGGAAAACTATATTTTGCTATAGTATAAAAAGGTACAGTACCAGAAAACATGTTGTAAATATTATTGTTCTATTTTTAGAACCAATGACAGGCCATGCAGGAAGCTGTAATAAAAATGATAGGGCCTATAATTGCATTCTATATTTGGCAAAAGCCTGGCTTTCCTGAAAGACTCTTTATAAATCCCCAGTTAAGTAATACTTTCCTTAGGAGCTATGTTTATATTCCCATTCAACCCTCATAACACACTGTTTATTGCTGGATAAATGAAGCTTTCCGCATTAAATCCACTGAAATTGATCACTTCCAAACTCGCTTCTCAGAAAAGAAATCGTATGATGTACGGCAGGGCAATATCCCCACAATTTTTCATCGATTCTTTCAAATCTCTGGACACAGCGTGAATCATAGTCCGTTTTAATACGAAGTACCACATCACGCCACTTCAAGCTGTCACTGTTTTAAAGTGCATCAAAAACGGAGACAGAATGAAAGTGCATCAAAAACGGAGACAGAATGAAAGCTGACAATACCTGTCACCAGATTTCTGGTTTTGATCAAGTTGGGCATCTCACGGAGAGGAATTGGGAGTAAATGCACAGTGCTCCTCCATTTTCAGATCCCAACCAAGCCTCGAACATCTTGCATTGGCCTATGGAGGAGGACAAAAAGCTGTTTTTAAAATCTATTATTGGACAAAATGTTGCAACCTGACGCCACTTTTTTCTTCATCTCAGTGAAGATCAGTCATTGCAAAAATGTTGATAAGACATGAATCTGGGACTGAGAAACATTTCCAATTTTGTTAGGAAATACTTTCAAAATTTTCTTGACTCTCCATAGACTTTGTATACAACCGCTGAAGTGGCATCAGGTTGCAACATTTTCCCCCTTTTATTTATGTATGTTCCAGGGGTATGTTGACAGTTGCCAAATTGGAGTTGTGTTGAGAATCACCATCAAATAAACATAAGTCTTAACTCACCGGCAGATGAAGAGGTTGCCAAAAATGACACATGTAGCCTAGTTTGAACATTATTGGTATGGTTTTCCACTGGGGAGCAAATTCAAAGTTGTCTCGTCGGTCGTTTTTCTTCCGTTGAAATTTTAATTTTGTGACAAGGAGTTATGCTTCTTCCTTCAGGTATCTGAGTGCTTATGTACGTTAAAAGCTCACATTTGAGTTTTATTTGATAATCGCTGTGCAAGTGTACCAAGGCTTTTAAAAAAAAGTTGATTTATTGGGTTTGCTCCTTAAACGTGGTTTTAATTTAGGGCCATAATTTAATAAAGGGCTATAGAAGGAATGGTTAAATTTCTTAAAAGGCACTTTTTCCCCTTGATCGCTGAAAGTCCTCTTCCCTTGAATGTCCTCTTCCCTAGATATTCATGGTAGTATGGTACGAATCCACAGCAGGGTATTTTTCATATTCTTTCATGTGAAGATATCTTTTCGTTCACTGAAAAAAAAAAAACCTTCTTACTTCCTCCAAAAAGGCACAATTTTCTAAAAATGAAAACCTTGAATTGATTTCTGTTATATCAAAACTCATATAATTGCACGTCATGCCTGCATCTACTTGCATCTCAAACCCCATCTGAACTAGATAAATTTCCAGATAATGTCCTATTTGCAGACACCCCACTGTGATAAATCTAAAGAACTGTAATTGTAGCCCCTAGCCACACTCTGGGCCCTCCTGACCTGTTCTCCTTGGCCAAAAAAAAACCTGTCACGGGATGGATTAATAACTGTACTTATCTCATTCAATTTGTCTTGGGAGTTCAAGAATGCAGCGGATAATTCATCAGTATGTTGGTATTTGGACTTTGAGACAGTGAGCTGAATGTCAAAAATTGATGACCCATTGGCCTGGGGGCAGGGGCGTCAATCGCTTCTCAAAAGTGGGGGGGACATACCTTGATCAAAACTGATGGGAGCGCGAAGCCCTTACGGTGTGGGTTTCGGGGCCCGCTTAAGGGCCCTGAAAAAATTGGATTCTAGATGCTCTGTGGTGTGATCTGAAGCAATTTCTTACCACTTTTCTCCATGCTTTAACTAATATTTTCGTAGCAAAAGATTATTATTTGAACATACCAGAATTCTGAGCTACAGACGTGGGGTTCGGGGCCCGCTTAAGGGCCCCGAAAAAAATTGGATTCTAAATGCTCTGTGGTGCTATCTGAGGCAATTTCTGACCACTTAAACCAATATTTTTTGAGCAAAAGATACATTGAAGTACATAATAGGGCCCTGTAAATGGGACATGAGTTCAAAAATCTGGGGGGGACATTTGATATTGTGTCCCCCACCCTTCAAAAAGTGGGGGGGGGGGGGACATGTCCCCCTGTCCCCCCCCCAGGATTGACGCCCATGCCTGGGGGGAAGGCTAGTCTTGCCTGTTACAACTTGATGTCATCAATTCCAATGTTGTTGGTCACTAGACTTGTGATGTGTCCAGAAATATGTGCATTTTTTATATTCTCAATTATAACTAAACCTAACTACACTTTGAATTAGGAATTATAGTTCTGAATTTAAAAACAGTCTGTAGTGGCACCCGCTTGGTAAATGTTCATGCTAATCGCATCTGTTGGGTACAGGTAGAGGTGCCAAGTGGATCGAATGTCCGCAGTTTGATACTTGGTGAAGTGTAAGGATTATAGACTGGTTTTATTATTAGTCTTCCCTATATTTTTTCCTCTGCCTTGGTAGCCCGTGTCAGATGTCCGTTTGAGTTCATGATGGTTATGTCTGTAGCTATTGTGTACCTATGGCATTTACACTCTGGGAGAGCTGGGAGATTGAATATCCTGGCCAATCGATAACTGGTGATGGATGGGGGTTTTGTAGATGTACTCCAGTTCACAGATGTGTTTTCTGTGGTTTTTCTTTCTGGCAGTTTGGCCAAGTGTTTATGTAAGATAATTTGTCAGTGGAGAGGAGGGATATAATTAAAGGGAATGTACATCATTGGCTTTCGCTGTAATTTTCAGAAATGAACTATTTGAGGGGTTAGTATAATAGATCAAATATTGTTACACTGACAAGTTTTGAAGTTTTGTGTTCGAAAATGCTGGAAAAACCAAGAAAAACAAAAATGTTTAAGTAGTCTCGTTCCCTGACTCCACTAAAGATGAAATGGATCAATTTATAGATGCCGGAAGATTGTAAGGTAAGGGAACCAGTCTAGCTGGCCTGCACCCGTTCATGAACATGTAACCAATAGCAAACACAATTTGGACTAAAACAAATGGTAAATTTGGAGCAGTAGTTGAAAAATAGTTAGGTTTTTCCTACGGTGGTCGGCCGACCACCGTTGGAAATGTATACAAAAATACAATTTTCTTGAAAATGACTTCACAACAGATGCCATAATTTTACAGGATGCTTTAGACTGTCATTTACCAACATCCTAGTAAGTTATTTCGTAAAAACTTGGTAGTTTTATTTTTCGATGTTTGCAAATGTTGTATTTTCCCTTTAAAGGGAAGATACGACATTTGCAAACATCACGAAACGAAATGATCAAATTATCAAGAAATACCTTACTGGATTGTTAGGGAATGACAGTGTAAAGCATCCTGTAAAATCGTGGCTCCTGGTGTGCTGACATTTTCAAGAAAAACGGTATTTTTTCAACGCTGGTCGGCCGACCAGCGTTGGAGAAGAATGGCTTTTTTTTCCGAACTGCTTCTATTTTTTTCATAATTAGTTATTCAGCATTTCTTTGCAATTGATTACACACCTGTGAAAGGGTACAAGCCTGCTAGTTTGATTTTCTCACCTTAAAATTCCCCAAAGTCTATAAATTGCTCCGTTTCCTCTTAAGTGGGGTCAGGGAACCAGACTTCAAGAACATGATTGGTTTTCTTGGTTTTTTCAGCATCTACAAGCCCAAAATGTGAAAAAGTCATCTTCACAATATTTGCTATAACATGTACTAATCCTCCAAATCCATTTATCTCTGAAAATTGCAGCAAAAGCAAATGTTGTACATTCTCTATTTTTTATAGATGCTGTGTCACACGTTTGAGAAGCAAAAATGTAATCATTATTATTTATTAATTTCTGGTAATGAAACCAACAATTCCTCAAAAGCGCCCTAGGCACTGCGGTTGCAAGTCTGAAGAAGCCTGTAGAGAGAAGACAATGAGAAGAAATTGCAGTTTTAGAGGTGCGAGGAAAACCCTAGAAGAATTCTCTGGGGGAAACCCACGGAATCAGGCAGGTACTGAAAACCCAATCCACATATTGGCCCAGGCGGGATTCGAACCCGGGTCACAGCGGTGGAAGACGTGGAAAGTACCGCTACGCCAACCTGACTCCTGACCTGATCAACTTGATCACTAGTCAATCACAGGCCAAATCACAAGTTAAGGGATGAACAATGACACAGGAATTTCTTTGTTGCAGTTCATTTGAATAGCTCGTCAATTGACTTCAGACTGGGTTACCTTTGATTGACTTGTGATGACAGATGATAAAGTTGTCATAAAATGCAAGCACAGAATTGCAAACAAAAATTCATGAATCCTTTTTGTTGTCTTCTATGTTCAGGCCGGATGTGGTACAGAACTTCCTGCCAGGAGAGGTTAAGAAAGATGAGAAGCCCAAGTCCAGCCTGCGAGGGAATGACTTCATGGGCATGGGCAGTCTGGTCGGTGACAGCAGCGCAAGAAGCCGGCAAGGCAAGCCAAGACCAAACATCCTGACTTCAGGTAGGTGCTTTCACTCCATCCAGAATCTCTGTGTTGGACCTGGGGCGAACCCTGAGATTTCAGGAACCCCTTTTGTGAGAAAGTTCCTCAGTAACCGACGGATGAGTGGTGATCAATAGGGTGCCTTCAATAGTTTCTTAATTTCCTTACTTCACATTCCATTCTAAATTGGAAGAGCTCTGATTTGTACCTTGTACCTTGCATCACTGATAATTTCACCACGGTTTTCCTGTTCCATATTTCCAAGATTTCATCACTGTTTCCGGTTCCATTACTCCCAGTTATTTCACCACAGTTTATCTCCACTACTCCTAGTATCTGTATCACCCAAGTTCATTCTGGTCAAAGTCAACAATCCTTGCTTTTCTATATCGTTAACCTGATCATCATATCCAGACAGTTGTATTCAATAAACGTCATAGCAAAGTTAACTCTTGCTCATTCGTTTGATTGCTGCCATATCGTCGTTGTGTTACCCTTTTGAGCCACGCCTCCTTTCCAAGTGCACCCAGTAACTTCCTCACACCTTTCACACTGTCAAGAACCCAACACAACCTCTTAACTGGTTTGGTGCTCTACATGGGTAAAATTACACCCTGGTCAGGACGAGTAATGAGCGGCTAGTAAATCCAAAATCCACAGTTGACTCATGTACCAACTGGTGTAAGTTGTGAACAGCATGCCATGTCAACCCATGTTCGATTGGACCAAGTTCAGCCCATGGTGGACCCGTGTTGATTTTAACATGGGTAGGTGGGAAGATGTGAAAGAAGAAGAAGTGTGAAAAGACCAGGGCCCAATTTCACGGCGCTGCTTAACAGTTAGCAGAAAAGTTGTGTTTAGCATAGCAGAAAAATGTGCTAACCTTAAGCACTATTTCACGGCGTGTGTGTGCTAACGGTCGCGCGTGCATGGAGATTTCTATTGATACGTCACTAAGTTAAGCACATTTTTCCACTGAAGTAAGCATGCCTTTTGCTGTGCTTATGCTTACAGTCTCCATGAAATAGACGGAGGCTCTCTTAGCAGAAAATCGTGTGCTTAGCAGTGCCGTGAAATTGGGCCCTGTAGTAGCTGGCAGTAGCATACATGTAAGTTACACCTACCTTGGAACTTAAGCCGTATTGAAGCAAAACCTCCTTACCAGTTTACATTTGTTACCATCTACAGGTCTAGTATCGTCTGCTGAGCCAGGCGCAGTCGTCGTCGTTGAGGACGAGACGTTTGAGCAGGGCCATTCCCGCAGCTCCAGCTACAACAGCCAGCAGTCCCGGGCCAGTGGCTACAGCAGTACTCACTCCCGCTCCTCCAGTGCCACCGAGCATTTCTCCAGCGCCCAGAGCCTGACGGACCTGCCGGAGCACGAGGAGCCCAAGGAGTCCTGGAAGGGCACCAATGAGAGACGGAGGGTAGGTTTAAGATGTCCTAAATTCCTTCTGGTTAGAAGTCACTTCATTAGGTGTCTGGGATAAATTGTGGACAAGGTTGTCCGCAGTAGGTCCATTGCATTGAGTATCAGTTGCATGATACTGAACAATTTCCCCGGAATGAGCTTACAATAAAGTTGTTAGTTTGTAAATAATGCTGATAATTTCCTTGTGGGAAAATACAGGAGAACTTGTTTAGAATCCTACAACTAATACCTAATACAATAGGCCTTTTGGAGATAAAACCAGATAGAAGGGGATGACTCCCAACAAACGCAAGGGATGATGAACAAATACTCAGTTTTAGAGATTGGATGAATACCCAGAGTGATTTTTTTCCAGCAAGAAACCCATACGATCAGTGAGGGAATGAAAAGCCAACCCACATGTCAGCCTTGTTGGGATTTGAACCCCAGTTGCATTGAAAGGCAAGGAAAATACTTTGGCACTATTAACCTGACTCACTGAGGTTTGAGATTAAAGATTTGCTAGTTGAAGTCTTTTCAAATCTGGTTTTGACAGTTCGAAACTCTTTACAGCTTGTGAAAAGCTTGGAATGCTGTAATCAAACCTAAAAGGAGGCATCTTGATTAATAGGAGTGAATTACTGTGCCGGCAAAATAACAGTGAGATAAGCGTGCCTCGGGATGAGATAGCACCTCTTTTTTTACTCATATTGATGAAAACAAATGGCGATTTCTAGTTCAGACCCGGGTTGACTATTTCTGCAGAATTACTTATCCATGGCTTCCCTTCAGATAATAAGATTTCATTCCCTGCCACTTCAAGTGCAAATATCAGTCATTAACCAATGTGGCTGGCTACCCCAGATGTTAAAATGAAACTGAAGCAAATGCGAAAGAAAGCATGGCAGGTCCAGGAAATCTGTCAAAAAAGCTCTGGGGATTTTACACTTTCACAATGATACGCTGAACTTTTACATTCTAAATTAGGTGTCAGACACCTTTACAGCAGAACGTTTTTGGAAATATTAAAAGGCGTTTCTGTACATTGCAGAATAGACGACCGCAAATTCCTATGATTTCAAGGAGTTCTCATATAAATACACTGTAACTTTGCAAACTCGCAGTTCATAAAATATTTCATCCTCCATTTTGTAGAAACATGCGGAGGAATCCCAACAGCAGAGGCGGGTGGATGACACGCGAGTGAATGCCGATGAGATCATCGATGACATCATGAGCAAGCAAGACTTCCAGGCAGACGAAAGCGCAGGAGGTAAGCTGGATGATACTGGAGGTAGTTCACAGAGATCACGGCTCAATTTCATGGAGTTTCAATGGAGACAACATTGCGAACTAATGTTTGTAGCAACAATTGAATACATTTAAATAAATAGAAGGTTCCGAACTGAATTTTGAATGAATTCAGTTACATCCAAAAGATACTGACATACATGTACCTCTCTGGATAAACCATGACCTGCAGCAGTGAAGGATATAAAGGACTAACCAGTTTTCTAGCCTAAGTCTGTTCGATTAGCAAATCAAACCACAGACCTAGAACAACAACAAGAAAACTTAAATTTTGCATTGTTTGTTACTTGTCTTTTTGCCTCTCATATTTTTTTGGTGCCACACTGAGGCCCTTAACTGGAAGTGTCCTGAAGGTTAGTGTAAGGAGAGTTGGAGAAGGTAAGAATGTTTTTTTTTAAGTTTTACTGTGGATTTTCAAGGAGTTTCTGCTTTCATTTTTCAGATGAAGGGCTTCAGTTATTCATTGCCAAAGATGGCTCGACAGCACTTGGGAGCAACCAACTGAAAAACAGGTTAGTATGAGGTGGCTGTCATTCATGTGAGTGAGGAATTTGTCTGGGGTGGGTTTGAACCACTGACCCCTGAATTGCAGTTCAAGGGCTTCATTCAGCAAGCAACAACTTGGTATTCTGTGTTTTGAATTTAAAGCTGTGGCCTAGCGGTTAGGGTTTGTGACTCATGATCAGAGTGTCAGGGGTTCGATTCCAGCTGCAGGCCATGTGTTGTGTCCTTGGGCAAGCCACTTCACCCCCACCCTCCTCTCTCCACCCAGGAGTATAAATGGGTACCTGGATTAACTGGGGAGTCACCTGCAATGGTCCGGTATCCCATCCAGGGGGAAGTATACATTTTCTCAGGCGTTTCATACCACTGAAACCAGAGATAAATGCCGGCCTGATACATGGGCCATAGTGGCTCACGACAGACTTTACTTATTAGATTCAGTGGGAAATCCCAAGCAGATTTCATTATTCCGATGGTTAGGATATCTGCTCTGGTATCGACAAGGTTGAAGGTTCAGGTCTTATCCAACCAAGGCTTCAAATAAACTTCAGAGACTATTGCAAAAAAATCAGAGAATGCACTGAAGTAATGTCGTTGATGATTCTTATTTCACTGTCTTCTTTGGAAGTCTTTTCAAAATTATCTTCAAGCAAACTTGATTCCTCGATCCTGATTGGTCGATCCATGGCAACAAGCCGTGCTACATATATTATAACCATACCGCACGACCACGGTCCATACCGCACTCCGCGTATTGCGCTATTCTAAGCCTACGTGACGCGATTAGTGCTGCACAATTCACTGTGAATTCAAAAGTTGCGCGTAGGTTACACAGCATGCGTGTTCCAACTTTACTGTGCGTCAAGTTTGCTTGAAGATAAATTCGTTATCACGCTCGCGCTCGTGGAACACGGAAAATGTAGTGCGTCTGTGTCCCACATACCACTCGGCCTTCGGCCTCGTGGTATGTGGGACACAGACGCACTACATTATTCCGTGTTCCACTCGCGCTCGCAAGATAACTAATAATATGAAACAAATCTGTTTTTTTTTTTTTTTCTCAAACAGAATGTCGGCGGGTGTGTTTGAACAAGTTGTCATCGACCAAAGGTAGTCCGGCAGAATGCGCCCCTCCATGTAGTCATGTGACCATTCATACCATGTGACGAGTCATGTGATCATTTAGCTCCCTGTTGGCCAGTCATGTGGCATCATAATAGTGTGACAAGTCAGGGGACCAGATCTCCCTGGTTGGAGTAACTGCACTTGCACCAGGAGCAGCAGGTGCTTGTCCTCGGACTGGTGCAAGGTCTTGCATTGGCTGTTGTCTGAAAATGTGGTTTGACAATTTGGTGGATGCGAATCAGATTGTAATATGTACATGTAAGACCTAAATCATGGCAAGTTGCCAGGTGACATTTCATGTGATCTCTCAGGTGATCTTTCATTCATTTAAGATATAACTTCTTTAAGGAATAATGGATGACCTACTCTTTTTTTTTTAAATGTCAACACCATGCTCAATCGGTGCAACACCATCATGATGTAAATTGCATCTCTGTTCTCAAAAACTTAAATGAAACTTCCAGAGAATTTTTGAAAAGTGCTTTGTTCTCGACCCAAAGTTTTAGAGAGGTTGCAATACAGTTGACGGGTTAACTGACCTGCAGATGGTGAAAGTCTGTGTTGTTTGTAAATTCTTCACATCAAAAGGCTTTGGATGCTGATAACATGTGATTTTGTCCCAAAAGACACCTTTTTTAAAATCTGTCTGGCTGGAAGATTGTATAAATTTATTCATAAATTAACAGCTATTCAGATTTGGTGTGTCTTTTGCCTGATTATAAAGAATCAGTAATTATAAAAAAAAAAAAGCCCCTGGATATTATTTTGATTTTCCTTTGTAAGATTATATTGCTGGGCAACTGTTGCTTTTTAAGATATCAAAGGATTTTAATTTTTTTTTCTTCAAAATTGACTGAAGGTACTTCCATAAGTTTGTGATTAGTGTAAAAGAAAGAGTTTAGGCGAAGGGGTTCATGTTTTAAAGTGAAATGGTTTCGCCAGTCAAGTTGGAAGTAGAGGTCATGTTATCCCTGGCTTGAACATTTATGGAAGGGAGACGTTTAGTTTGGTACATTTGAAGTGATTGAGTTCCTAGCTAAGGGGTGAAAACCGGGGGGCTCTTGACTGGGATTTCACCTGATCACCACGAACTGCTACTTTGTTCATAAAACTGACACGATGGACAAATTGACGATGGAATGTTTTCATGTGAAGCCATATTGCCAGACAGGTCTTAAGAGCTTCTCATCGTATATGATCTAGTCTTCGTGCTCCTTGACAACTAAACAGGGTGGTAAAAAAACAAAAACACAGCTTCATACTTCCAATATCTAGGGACCTAAAACATTGATATGTATGGCTAGGAAATTTTGTCAGAAGGAAAATGATACCAAGAACTCCCGATTCGGTTCAGTAGTTTTAATTCCAGCGCCATTTTTGTGAACCAAAGTCAGGGGTTATTTGGTCTTGGATGTATAACACAAACATGATGTGTGCGATAATCCTAATTAGAGCCCCTGCTTTTGGTTCACAATAATGTCGCTGGCATCAAAACTACTGGACCAAATTAGGAGTTCTTGGTATAATTTTCCTTCCAACAAAATGTCCTAGCCATATATATCAATAGTGTATGTCTCTTAATAGTTGAAGTATGGGGTTGCGTTTCTTTGGACCACCCTGTATTGTTGAAGATATGTGTGAAGTAGATTTTGTACATTTTGCGTTTTATTTAGACAATTTCTTTTTAGCTTCCGCGGATTGCATTTCACAGCACTGAAAATTTACTGACATTCAAATGGAATTACTGATGACCTGTATGAATTTTGATTGAAATGATGTCCATGTGATCTTTGTTACACAACACAAGGCGCAATACTTTTGTGCACTTAAAGCCGATTTACACATACGTGACTTTGTCGCGCGACAATGTCGTGCGTTTTTTATAAATACGCACACATCAATGAGTGTGTTTACATTAACGCGATTAAGTCGTGCGTCTCATCACTCATTCATTTGTGCGTATTTGTAAAAATAACGTATAAAAACCAAGGCGCTATATTTTTGTGCCCTTAAGGCCGATTTACACATACGTGATTTGTCGCGCGACATTGTCGTGCGTTTTTATACATGTAAATACGCACACATCAATGAGTGTGTTTACATCAACGCGATTAAGTCGTGCGTCTCATCACTCATTCATTTGTGCGCATTTGTAAAAATAATATATGTATAAAAACTTGCGACACTGTCGCATATGTGTAAATTTAGTGTTGATTTTTAGTTTGACCTCCGATTCATGAATGCATCTGTGAGACTTTTATTTCTTTTAAATTTGTGTGAAAATGTATTCATTTATCATTTTTGTTTTGTCCAAAATGCTTAATATCTCTGACCAGGATCCAATTTCTTGGCTCTGCTTCGCACGGAATTCTGCGCGATTCTGTGCTTTCAGTGTTAGTGTAGAATTCTGCGCTAATCCTGCAAGCTCTTTGTTTGTAGCAATAGGATGTACACATTCCTTGCTAACCTGCGAAATACGTCAACCATTAGTGCAAAATTTCTGCAACAGTTAGCGATGAATTTTTCTCTTGTAGTGCATTTTAGCAGAGCCATGAAGTTGGGCTAAGATGACAACCTTTTGTTGTTAAAGCATTGTGTGTGCTCTGTAATAGGCACAGGTAACACAATTTCTAATGGGAAGAATTAATTTCAACAATGTTAAGGGGGGATATTTGGTTGGTCATTAAAAAAATTGAGCCTGCATTGTTGGGTCAGGTTTTCAACTGCACTTGGTGACATTTGTTCAGTGACTGCTGTAAAAAGTTTGCTCAGTAAGAACTAAGGCTTTTGGTGTAGAAAACAAGGTTTTTTTTGGCATGCACTTTCTTACTTGCTCCGATTTTTTATCATTTTAATTTAGAACCATGATGAGATGGCCATTTCTGTGATATATGTTTGTTTTAGCCTAAAGGCTGCCCTTCTTTTGTTTTAAATAAACCTTTATAACTAAAGTGACGTTTATTGTAAAATCTCAAAAATTCCCGATTTTTAATAGGCATTATTGCAAAAATCCTGAAATCAGGAGAAATCCTGACACATTTCACCCCCGGCAGACATAAAATAAATGTAATTCCTTGGCTATTGGAAAATGTATTTTTGTTTAGTATTTCACAGAGGCAAGTAAGGCCTTCATTTCCACTGTTCTTGGTTTTTGGTGCCTGTAGATATTCTGTTTTTTCTTGTTTTGTTTTTTAATGGAAGTGCCCTTCCTGAAGGAAATAACATGGCCGTGCCCTGTACAAGGTTGAAATTATATTATGTAGCAATTTTCGGATGACAAAGAAAGCAATGCTTTTGTTGCAGTATTCAGATTGGCATTATGTGATTGAAACTTACTAGGACATTTTATGTGCAATTTATGACATTTGTGATGTGTTTAATTGTCTGTGAAGTCTTACACCGTTATTATGCATAATTTGTAAGAGGTTCATGTTTTTAAAATGTGCGTATTTAGAGGAGCAGTGTAGCAGCTTCTTGTGTGATAGTGACGTTTGCTATTTGATGTGATTTTGTCGTTTTATGCCTTCATCATGCTTCTATATAAATGAAACTTCGCAATTTAAGTGCCATTGATGGTGGTTTAACTTTTATTTTTTAGCGTGGCATGCTTTGTGCAAATGATTTCTGAAATATTTCATCGAGAAATATTTTCAGTCACTGTGTACGCACCTTGTGTGCATTGTTGATGTGGTTTGTTTGAAGAGTGCATTTTTTTTGTTGCTGTTAAATATGAATAAGAGTGAAACTTTCACGAGTCTAAATTTCATTGCATCTGATGAAGAAGTTGTAGCTACGAAAGCTATAATGCAAACTTTTAGTTTTACTCTTGTTATGATTAACAAGAGTAAAACTAAAAAATTTAAGTGCTACCTTACTTTTTCGGGTGTTTTTGCCTGACTAACACGGCTGCCCACCACATTAGAGTCTAATTTACTGATTTCACTGGTCGGGAATGTCAGCATTCAATTTCAGTTTGAAAATAATTTTCTTTCAAGTCTTGGGACTTCATAAGCTGCATTTCTAAAAATCTGGAATGAAACAGTGTTGTGTCAATTCTTTTTTTTATTTACATGGGAGGGGGGGGGGGTGCATTGAATGATTAAGTATGCTAATGTCATCTTAAAAGTGTAAAACTTTGCTTTGGGACAGGATTGGAAAAAATGGGGAAATCTCAAAAAAGTGTGATTCAAAATGAAAAGGATTGATTTGATTTGATTTTTCTTTCCAAAAAAAAACATTTCAAACATGTCTTAATGCCTAGATTTTCAAAAAAAATGTATTTTCCAAGAAATTTCCAAATTTTAAATCCCTCATTCAATTACATCCTTTATACAGCTTTAACAAAATTTCTCAACGGACTTATTACATTGGTTTTTTTTTTTGAAAAATATATCTCGAAGATAGTCGTTTCGAATCAGGCTTTGAAAATGCGAGACTAAAATTATTAGCCACTTGATTTTAAGTTTATACATTCAAACATTACGCATAGGTTGCTTAATATTGGGGGTGAGAATCATTATGTGTAATGTGTAAATTTGAACTGAGAAAGTGGCCAATGTATGAGCCGCCTCTATGTTATTCTCTTGTCATCATTTCGCTTGTGTATAGCATCTTTGTTTTCAAGTATGCCGATAACTGTACATGACTGTAATGTAATTTTTCTAATTATTTATCATGACTGTGGATGTACAAATTTCTGTCAATGTACATGTAAATTAAAAAATCCAACTTTGATTACCATTAAAATGTATTTTAACTGAAAATGATGCAAACAGTGATTAGTTCTGACTTTGTGTTCATGTTTTCCTTCTCTATATTAAAGGGAATATACAACATTTGCAAACATCGAAAAATAAAACTACCAAGTTTTTGCGAAATACCTTAACAGGATGTTGGTAAATGACAGTCTAAAGCATCCTGTAAAATTATGGCACCTGGTATGCTGTCATTTTCAAGAAAAGTGGTATTTTTGTATCAATTTCCAACGCTGATCGGCCGATCAGCGTTGGAAACAACTGGCTTTTTTTCAAATACTGGCCCCAATTGACCATTGCACTTGTTTGCAATCGATTACAAACCTATGAACGGTTACGAGCCAGCTAGACTGGTTCCCTGACCTTACAATTCCCCAACTTTATGTAAACTGCTCTGTTTCTTCTTATATGGAGTCAGGGAACCAGACTACAGGAAAATGATCGTTTTTCTTGGTTTTTATAGCATTTTCGAACCCAAAACCTCCAAAAAGTCAGTGTAACTATATTTGCTTTATATTTCCAACCCCCCAATTCCATCCATTTCTGAAAATTACAGCAAAAGCAAATGATATATATTCCCTTTAATGCAGATTTTGTAAGCTTTTTGTCAAATTAAAATGGAACTGGGTAAGGTTTTCCTGTGGTTTCAATTCCATCATGATGAGTAAAAAAAGTGGTTTCGGCTAATTGTGATGATTTGACATCCAAGCAATAGACGATTGGTTACAAATCAAGTTTTCCAACTGCCATGCATTTCGCCCCGCCCCCCCCCCCCCCAAAAAAACCAACAAAAATAGCTAAACGCCCAGCAGTGGTGCGCCTTTCAAGGGAAGGAGCGTGGCCAGAGCCCCTCGTAGAGTCTTGAAAATGGGACAGGACAAAATGGAAAATTGAGAAGTAAAATGATCGCATATTAAACATAAAACGGATGAAATATTTTGCCCCTAACGTGGCGCACTTTGATTTTTTTTTGCCTCTAGTGCCATGCTAGGGCAAGTGCCTTCTAAAATTTCAGCTAGAGTCAGTGAAATTTCATCAAGCTCTATAAAACATTCCTGTTCATAAACGTTGAGTTAACTACCCGTCTCAAAGTTAAGAGAGAATTGCACTTTTGGCGCGATTTTCCGAGACCGATTCTATTTTGAAGTGTGAACAAATGTGCCCAAAAGTAAGAAACTAATTTTGTGACAAACAGGTTTATGGATAGGCTTATTTATCACCTCCACTCACAATGTGAGTGGAGGTGATAATGGTTTATCAAAATTTGTCAACTTTAGCGAAATTCTTCGGGATTAGGGAACACTCTGCCGTATTTTTGTCCGCCCAATTTCCGGACAAAATTTTAATTTCGAACAAATTTTATGACACTCAAATTGTTCAAAAACAGGTTCAACAGAAAGCATTATTAAGTTGAAAGTACCAGAATTTAACTAAATGCATTTGAAACTTTTCAACAAAAATGTTTGGCAGCCGGCCTGCTGCACGAGGAAAGTCGGGGGAAACGTCGAAATGCGCCACGTACTATATTCATTGATTTGTACACATCAAATTGCTGTCAAAAGTTACCCGAGAATAATTCTAAAGGTATCAAAGGAAACCAAAAGTAAACGTACTTACTCTTAAGTCGACATTATTTTGAGTTGTTGGTGAAAACTATGCAGCACTGCTGATAAAGACGTACCAAATAGTTGCTGAAAACCTGCTGGAAACCACAATTCGTGGAAGTTTGAACCTGAAACCTCAAAGTCAAAAAAGACAACTGTGACAAGAAAGTAGGCGCCAAATTACGCCATCTTTAAAAATATACATACGCGACAGAAAACAAGAAATAAAAAAAAATACAGGCTCTAAAAATCGTATATATTTTGAAAATAAGAGTTTGAAATTAGTGACTACGATGTTCAAAATCACCCTTAAAAAGTTATTGAAATTTTGAGAAATATAGAAATAGTTTTGTCTGCCCTATTTTAACTCTGCGGATTCGGACGTGAATTGGACGTTGTTTGACATGAGGCAAAGAAGTTCAGGTTGCTTAGCAACAACTGTTTCCAATTAATTAAGATTCTGGAAGTTACATTTTAAAATGTTATTTCAATTTTCTGGTTGAAAGAAAATTGTCCTTTTTTTCAAATTTAAACAGACCAACAAATTTCACAAAAAAATTTGATCAGTCCTTCACACCACCGTGACTTCAATTCATATTTATTTATCTATTTATTTATTTATTTTATTTAACGCTCGAATTTGTAGAGTTGATTTCTGCCTGAAATTATCTAATCGTTTATTGCTCCAAGAAGTAGCAAATGCCAAAAAAAGGGATAATTTCTGAATTAACGAATCAAGGGTGCATCTAACCTTAACGTTAACAACGAAACACGTGCTCGATCGATCTTGGCCTTTGAGAACGCTTGAGGGGGCTATTGCACTTAGACGACATCAACAGCACGTGATTTGTTGTATTAACATTAAATCATCATTGCAGGATGAAATCATCAGACAAGTGCTTGTGATTTTGATCATCAATTTCGCCGGCTTAAATTTCGGTATTCATGGTACACGCCCACTGCCGAATACGAAGATGGGTGAATACGGAGAGGGACCCAATAATCCACCGAATAACAGCATGAAAGACATCGGTGACGTAACGCCCACTGCGCTGGCTGAAAATATCGAAGCAACCGAAGGTAAACAAATCACAAGTCTTAAGACACTTCACTGTCACTAATTAGCTTGACAAACTCCAGCTGAACAAGCTCATCCTGCTTGTCACTGTGGTTAAGACAGGTGCCATTTCTTGCTTGGTGTAATCGGTCTAAATGGCCAAAATGTGGGTGATCGTGAAGTGTATAGGGCCCCTGTTTTGTTTAGCCCCACTTGTGTGGCCTCCGTATTGCTGCACTGTACGTTAGGCCACACGTCTGGTTTTCCAACCTACTGAGGAGTTAAGTCTGAACTCTGGCGCACCCTTTTTTGGCACTTTTTTACATAACACTAACAGTGTATATGGTTGTATCCTAATATGATTTCTCATCTTTTGCCCTCCGGGTAGATTAGGTAATCTTTCTCCAAATTTTTTTTGAGAAATTTAGACATCTTTCTGGAGTCCATATGCGCCAGTTTCGGACTAAACTCTTCACGTGTGGCCTAACGTCATGAACGTACAGCACAGCAATACCTAGGCCACACAAGTGGGGCTATGTTTTGTTTTGATCAAATTAGAGTAAAAAATGTTTTGTATTGCTCAAAAATCACCTTTACAATCAAAAGCAGACTTCTCTCAATTCTAATGACACCCGTTTTGCAATTTTGAATAGATTCTTGGGGTAGAAACCACAATTTTCCTGCGCGGTTTGTGCCTTGCGATTCAGTGCGCCGTGCGTGCTCACGGTACATCGTGCGGTGATCGCCATCTTTATTTTCGGGTTGTGTGTTGTCGCCGCGCTGTCATCGTCATTTTACCGCCAAATTTCCCACACAAAAAATTCAAAACCCTGCCCTCTATCTATGACATACCTGTTTATTGAGAATGTTGCCAACTAGTTTGGTCGGTCTGATAATTTTAAAGTGGATTTTGTTCCCTTTAATATAGGAACCGGGCCCTACACTACACGATCGCCAAAATGTGTTGTGGCAAAGCCAAAGGAAAATGGTTAGGAAATGATGTAGTATCCAGACGCCACTTCTTTGGTTGTGTATAAAGTCTACGGAGAGTCGAGTGCATTTTTAAAGTATTTTCTAACAAAATTCGAAAGGTTTTTTTGGTTCCACATTCATGTCTCTTCAACATTTTTTCCCTTGTTCAGTGCTTAGCCAGCGAAATATTGTTTACTTAAATTTAGCCGGCGCCTGTTAAATATACATGTACATTGCCTATTTCAAAAGGTGCAAAGCCTCAACTTATTACTAATTCTCCACAGAGTATGCTGCTTTAGAGCAGACGCTGGACCAACTGGATTCTTGCCTGGACGATCTGGAGCAGAAGAACGACTCGCTGAACAGCAAGCTGAAGGAGCTGCTGGACTCCACGCTGCAGATCCACCAAGAAATGACCCAGCAGAGACTGAAGGCAAACAGCAAAGATGCAGACAAAGACAAGAGCACATAGCACTGATGCTAAACGGCAGCCTGGTAATTATTAGGGAAGGAGGGCTGTCCGAATATACCGAATATTTGAATATTCGAGCATGGACCAAATATTCGAATATCTGTTTGCCGGTTTGAATTTTTTGGGGGAAAAAATCCCAAATATCATTTTAATCATAAAGTTGCTGCCTTTATTATCAGATGCCACTTTTTTGTTGATGCCACGTCTTTCGCTCATTGTTCAATGTTCCCATCCTTTTAGCAGGTTAAAACCCTTGACACTGATATAGTACCTAATGGGCAATTCCACGGTTACTCACGTTACATTTTTGATGTACTTGATGTAAGTTTTCTTGGGCTGTAATTACCTTACTGAAAAGGTTTAATAACTGTTATCCCCATGGTAGATAGAGTAGACCTAGACCTACCTAAGCACCAAAGATGACGTCCAGAAAAATGTGTTATGTATGATAAACAAGACGCACAAAATCGGTTACTCATGTTACATTTTCGTAACGTGAGTAACCGATTTTGTGCGTCTTGTTTATCATTATGATTGGCACGTAATTGACTTGTAATTAACTTGATTACAACGCCGGTATTATCAAGTAGGGGGCTGTAATTGACTGTTTGCATGGGGCTACTTAAGTAACAAATTGCTGATCACAACTGTAAAGGTGTATTTTTTGTCCTTTCCTTTCCCAGATTTGCAGGAAATTCCTCACCCACGTTCAGCATGCCAACACAGTGGTCTTGTTGTCTTCGTTAAGTTCTCTTGTTGATGGGAAAGTCATATACAGAATGAAAGTATTGTGTTTGTGTGTGTGTGTGTGTGTGTGTGGGGGGGGGGGGATGGGGTGGCCATTGGCTGCCCCACTTTGTCCACTTGGGGGGGGGGGGGGGATGGGACCCCAACTCTTGGCAGTTCCCAAAATAGTGTACTCTACTCTTTTATTGAATGAGTTCTGTAGTCTACTGTTTCTGGAAATAATAGGATTGAGTGATCAATTTCGATTATCGGGAAGGCCGACATTCACTGCAGTTGCCATGGCATACGCAGTGGAACCAGGGGGTGGGGGTTGTAACCTGTACCAAAATAAAACATAGAAAAGGGCGCCCCCTACAGACGAATGAGGTCCAGCCCCACCTCCTCCCCCGCTTTTCGAATTTGCAACGGCCGACGGGCCCCAACGGTGCTTGCCCCACCCCCCACTTTCAAAACTTACAAGCCGCAACTGCCAGTCAGTGATCCATTGTCTCAATATTATTTGGAAAAAAGGCTATTATCTGCTGACAACATAAGCAAAAATAAGACAAAAGGACCACAAAGACCAGGGAAAAAACACATTCCATTATCCTTATTCTTCATCCCCCTCCCACACTATTATACAAGTCAAAATCCAACATCAGAGCCGAACCACTATTCCTTCACAGGGAGCCTGATGCACTCATGTAGAAGAAAGCAACTTTCACTGGCTGTTTGGCAAATTTTAAATTGCTCTTGTATTAAATTTTGTTTTGTTTTATTCCATTTTGTATTTAAGTGAAACAAAAATGTTTAATAGAGTACTCAATTCCCATAACATAATCAAGTTTTCAATCCAAACTACATTGTATTTTTTTGATTCAGTAAAATCGGGAATTTTGTAAATTTTTGTTAGTGTAGACAATTTATTTCATATGGTAGCATTGGTACTATTATATTAAATTATTATGTATGTATATTGTAATGTGCATTTTAAGTACTACATGGTATTGTACAAAATATTAATGACATATTTGGTTTATGATCATTGGAAGAAAAATAAGGAATATTTTTTTCTGTGCTTTTAATTACAAACAAGATTTGTTTTAAAAAACCTAATTATTTGGAGATGAAAGAACAGCGTCTGATGTACTCATCACTACTGTTCTGTTCCAGAGTACAAATGGAAATGCGGAATAGTAAAGAGACAAAAATAAATAATTTCCACTAATTTTGGCCCAAATTATTGAAGCAATCTTTCTTTAAAATGCCCAATCTGTCCAAAATTCCAGTTGGAATGTGCTTTAGGGACCCTCAGGCGTCTTCCCTGCAAGTTTCAAGCAATTACATTTTTCGGCCAAAATTGAAAAAAATTCAAGGGATTAGCCTTACATTTTTGATCAAATTTGGCTGAAAAATGACTTTTCTCCAAACAACTCAGCAATGTCTTTGGATGCAAAAGCAACATTAATCGACCTTCAAACACTAATCATATTGAAGATTTGGGCAAAAATCACAGACTAAAAAGACAAAAATGAATAATTTTCACTAATTTTGACGCAAATTATCAAAGCAATTTTTCTTTTAAATGCCCAATCTGTCCAAAATTCCAGTTGGAATGTGCTTTAGGGATCCTCAGGCATGTTCCCTGCAAGTTTCAAGCAATAACATTTTTGGGCCAAAATTGAAAAAATTTCAAGGGGTTAGCCTTACATATTTTTTGATCAAATTTGGCCAAAAATGGACTTTTCTCCAAACAACTCAGAAATGTCTTGGGATGCAAGAGAAACATCAATCGACCTTCAAACACTAATCATATTGAAGATTTGGGCAAAAATCACCGACTTATAAAACAAAAATGAATAATTTTCACTAATTTTGACCCAAATTTGCGAAGCAATCTTTCTTTTAAATGCTCAATCTGTCAAAAATTCCAGTTGGAATGTGCTTTAGGGATCCTCAGGCATGTTCCCTGCAAGTTTCAAGCAATTACATTTTCCGACCAAAATTGAAAAAAATTCAAGGGGTTAGCCTTACATTTTTGATCAAATTTGGCCGAAAAATGGATTTTTCTCCAAACAACTCAGAAATGTCTTTGGATGCAAAAGCAACATCAATCGACCTTCAAACACTAATCATATTGAAGATTTGGGCAAAAATCGTCGACTTATAAGACAAAAATGAATAATTTTCACTAATTTTGACCCAAATTATCGAAGCAATCTTTCTTTTAAATGCTCAATCTGTCCAAAGTTCCAGTTGGAATGTGCTTGAAGGATCCTCAGGCATGTTCCCTGCAAGTTTCAAGCAATTACATTTTTCGACCAAAATTGAAAAAATTACAAGGGGTTAGCCTTACATTTTTGATAAAATTTGGCCAAAAATGGACTTTTCTCCAAACAACTCAGAAATGTCTTGGGATGCAAAAGCAACATCAATCGACCTTCAAACACTAATCATATTGAATATTTGGGCAAAAATCACCGACTTATTGAGACAAAAATGAATAATTTGCACTAATTTTGACCCAAATTATCGAAGCAATCTTTCTTTTAAATGCCCAATTTGTCCAAAATTCCAGTTGGAATGTGCTTTAGGGACCCTCAGGCCTCTTCCCGGCAAGTTTCAAGCAATTGCATTTTTGGGCCAAAATTGAAAAAAATGCAAGGGGTTAACCTTACATTTTTGATCAAATTTGGCCAAAAATGGACTTTTCTCCAAACAACTCAGAAATGTCTTTGGATGCAATGGGAACATCAATCGACCTTCAAACACTAAACATATTGAAGATTTGGGCAAAAATCACCGACTTATAAGACAAAAATGAATAATTTTCACTAATTTTGACCCAAATTATCGAAGCAATCTTTCTTTTAAATGCCCAATTTGTCCAAAATTCCAGTTGGAATGTGCTTTAGGGACTCTCAGGCAACCTCCCTGCAAGTTTTAAGCAATTACATTTTTCGGCAAAAATTGAAAAAAATTCAAGGGGTTAGCCTTACATTTTTGATCAAATTTGGCCGAAAATTGACTTTTCTCCAAACAACTCAGCAATGTCTTTGGATGCAAAAGCAACATCAATCGACCTTCAAACACTAATCATATTGAAGATTTGGGCAAAAATCACCGAATTATAAGACAAAAATGAATAATTTCCACTAATTTTGACCCAAATTATCGAAGCAATCTTTCTTTGAAATGCCCAATTTGTCCAAAATTCCAGTTGGAATGTGCTTTAGGGATCCTCAGGCCTCTTCCCGGCAAGTTTCAAGCAATTGCATTTTTGGGCCAAAATTGAAAAAAATCAAGGGGTTAGCCTTACATTTTTGATCAAATTTGGCCGAAAATGGACTTTTCTCCGAACAACTCAGCAAAGTCTTTGGATGCAAAAGCAACATCAATCGACCTTCAAACACTAATCATATTGAAGATTTGGGCAAAAATCACCGAATTATAAGACAAAAATGAATAATTTCCACTAATTTTGACCCAAATTATCGAAGCAATCTTTCTTTTAAATGCCCAATTTGTCCAAAATTCCAGTTGGAATGTGCTTTAGGGACCCTCAGGCCTCTTCCCGGCAAGTTTCAAGCAATTGCATTTTTGGGCCAAAATTGAAAAAAATCAGGGGGTTAGCCTTACATTTTTGATCAAATTTGGCCAAAAATGGACTTTTCTCCAAACAACTCGGAAATGGCTTGGGATGCAAGAGGAACATCAATCGACCTTCAAACACTAATCATATTGATGATTTGGGCAAAAATCACCGACTTATTGAGACAAAAATGAATAATTTCCACTAATTTTGACCCAAATTTTCGAAGCAATCTTTCTTTTAAATGCCCAATTTGTCCAAAATTCCAGTTGGAATGTGCTTTAGGGACCCTCAGGCATCTTCCCTGCAAGTTTCAAGCAATTACATTTTGGGCCAAAATTGAAAACATTTCAAGGGGTTAGCCTTACATATTTTTTGATTAAATTTGGCCAAAAATGGACTTTTCTCCAAACAACTCAGAAATGGCTTGGGATGCAAGAGGAACATCAATCGACCTTCAAACACTAATCATATTGAATATTTGGGCAAAAATCACCGACTTATTGAGACAAAAATGAATAATTTCCACTAATTTTGACCCAAATTATCGAAGCAATCTTTCTTTTAAATGCCCAATTTGTCCAAAATTCCAGTTGGAATGTGCTTTAGGGACCCTCAGGCATCTTCCCTGCAAGTTTCAAGCAATTACATTTTTCGGCCAAAATTGAAAAAATTTCAAGGGGGTTAGCCTTACATTTTTGATCAAATTCGGCCGAAAATGGACTTTTCTCCAAACAACTCAGCAATGTCTTTGGATGCAAAAGCAACATCAAACGACCTTCAAACACTAATCATATTGAAGATTTGGGCAAAAATCACCGACTTATTGAGACAAAAATGAATAATTTCCACTAAATTTGACCCAATTTATCGAAGCAATCTTTCTTTTAAATGCCCAATTTGTCCAAAATTCCAGTTGGAATGTGCTTTAGGGACCCTCAGGCATGTTCCCTGCAAGTTTCAAGCAATTACATTTTTCGGCCAAAATTGAAAAAAGTTCAAGGGGTTAGCCTTACATTTTTGATCAAATTTGGCCAAAAATGGACTTTTTATCCAAACAACTGAGAAATGGCTTGGGATGCAAGAGGAACATCAATCGACCTTCAAACACTAATCATATTGAAGATTTGGGCAAAAATCACCGACTTATTGAGACAAAAATGAATAATTTCCACTAATTTTGACCCAAATTATCGAAGCAATCTTTCTTTTAAATGCCCAATTTGTCTAAAATTCCAGTTGGAATGTGCTTTAGGGACCCTCAGGCATGTTCCCTGCAAGTTTCAAGCTATTACATTTTTCGGCCAAAATTGAAAAAATGTCAAGGGGTTAGCCTTACATTTTTGATCAAATTTGGCCAAAAATGGACTTTTCTCCAAACAACTCAGAAATGGCTTGGGATGCAAGAGGAACATCAATCGACCTTCAAACACTAATCATATTGAAGATTTGGGCAAAAATCACCGACTTATTGAGACAAAAATGAATAATTTCCACTAATTTTGACCCAAATTATCGAAGCAATCTTTCTTTTAAATGCCCAATTTGTCCAAAATTCCAGTTGGAATGTGCTTTAGGGACCCTCAGGCATCTTCCCTGCAAGTTTAAAGCAATTACATTTTTCGGCCAAAATTGAAAAAATTTCAAGGGGGTTAGCCTTACATTTTTGATCAAATTCGGCCGAAAATGGACTTTTCTCCAAACAACTCAGCAATGTCTTTTGATGCAAAAGCAACATCAAACGACCTTCAAACACTAATCATATTGAAGATTTGGGCAAAAATCACCGACTTATTGAGACAAAAATGAATAATTTCCACTAAATTTGACCCAATTTATCGAAGCAATCTTTCTTTTAAATGCCCAATTTGTCCAAAATTCCAGTTGGAATGTGCTTTAGGGACCCTCAGGCATGTTCCCTGCAAGTTTCAAGCAATTACATTTTTCGGCCAAAATTGAAAAAAGTTCAAGGGGTTAGCCTTACATTTTTGATCAAATTTGGCCAAAAATTGACTTTTTATCCAAACAACTCAGAAATGGCTTGGGATGCAAGAGGAACATCAATCGACCTTCAAACACTAATCATATTGAAGATTTGGGCAAAAATCACCGACTTATTGAGACAAAAATGAATAATTTCCACTAATTTTGACCCAAATTATCGAAGCAATCTTTCTTTTAAATGCCCAATTTGTCTAAAATTCCAGTTGGAATGTGCTTTAGGGACCCTCAGGCATGTTCCCTGCAAGTTTCAAGCAATTACATTTTTCGGCCAAAATTGAAAAAATTTCAAGGGGTTAGCCTTACATTTTTGATCAAATTTGGCCGAAAATTTACTTTTCTCCAAACAACTCAGCAATGTCTTAAGATGCAAAAACAATATCAATCGACCTTCAAACACTAATCATATTGAAGATTTGGGCAAAAATCACCGACTTAAAAGACAAAAATGAATAATTTTCACTAATTTTGACCCAAATTATCGAAGCAATCTTTCTTTTAAATGCCCAATTTGTCCAAAATTCCAGTTGGAATGTGCTTTAGGGACCCTCAGGCATGTTCCCTGCAAGTTTCAAGCAATTACATTTTTCGGCCAAAATTAAAAAAAATGTCAAGGGGTTAGCCTTACATTTTTGATCAAATTTAACCAAAATGGACTTTTCTCCAAACAACTCAGAAATGGCTTGGGATGCAAGAGGAACATCAATCGACCTTCAAACACTAATCATATTGAAGATTTGGGCAAAAATCACCGACTTATTGAGACAAAAATGAATAATTTCCACTAATTTTGACCCAAATTATCGAAGCAATCTTTCTTTTAAATGCCCAATTTGTCCAAAATTCCAGTTGGAATGTGCTTTAGGGACCCTCAGGCATGTTCTCTGCAAGTTTCAAGCAATTACATTTTTCGGCCAAAATTGAAAAAATTTCTAGGGGTTAGCCTTACATTTTTGATCAAATTTGGCCGAAAATTTACTTTTCTCCAAACAACTCAGCAATGTCTTAGGATGCAAAAACAATATCAATCGACCTTCAAACACTAATCATATTGAAGATTTGGGCAAAAATCACCGACTTATTGAGACAAAAATGAATAATTTCCACTAATTTTGACCCAAATTATCGAAGCAATCTTTCTTTTAAATGCCCAATTTTTCCAAAATTCCAGTTGGAATGTGCTTTAGGGACCCTCAGGCATGTTCCCTGCAAGTTTCAAGCAATTACATTTTTCGGCCAAAATTGAAAAAATGTCAAGGGGTTAGCCTTACATTTTTGATCAAATTTGGCCAAAAATGGACTTTTCTCCAAACAACTCAGAAATGGCTTGGGATGCAAGAGGAACACCGACTTATTGAGACAAAAATGAATAATTTCCACTAATTTTGACCCAAATTATCGAAGCAATCTTTCTTTTAAATGCTCAATCTGTCCAAAATTCCAGTTGGAATGTGCTTTAGGGACCCTCAGGCATCTTCCCTGCAAGTTTCAAGCAATTACATTTTTCGGCCAAAATTGAAAAAATGTCAAGGGGTTAGCCTTACATTTTTGATCAAATTTGGCCAAAAATTGACTTTTCTCCAAACAACTCAGAAATGGCTTGGGATGCAAGAGGAACATCAATCGACCTTCAAACACTAATCATATTGAAGATTTGGGCAAAAATCACCGACTTATTGAGACAAAAATGAATAATTTCCACTAATTTGGACCCAAATTATCGAAGCAATCTTTCTTTTAAATGCCCAATTTGTCCAAAATTCCAGTTGGAATGTGCTTTAGGGACCCTCAGGCATCTTCCCTGCAAGTTTCAAGCAATTACATTTTTCGGCCAAAATTGAAAAAATTTCAAGGGGTTAGCCTTACATTTTTGATCAAATTTGGCCAAAAATGGACTTTTCTCCAAACAACTCAGAAATGGCTTGGGATGCAAGAGGAACATCAATCGACCTTCAAACACTAATCATATTGAAGATTTGGGCAAAAATAACCGACTTATAAGACTCGCCCTCTATACACCTGGAAAATGACTTCGTTTTTTTAATCATTCAAAACAGCAGACAAGTGTACACACTGATGCATTTTGCTAATTGGCTTTATTGTAAATGCGCATCTTGATAAAAGCAATTGAATTGCAAACTAAATGAAATAAATGTGAAATTGGGTCTCTACATAAAGTCTACAATTAATTATACCTGAATAAAGTCAAGGTAAATCTTCCGATATTCAATAAAATGTTGGGTTTTTTTACGTCCAGAATACACAAACTGGTCCAATGCAGAATCTGCACTTGTACGTTAGTGATTTTGTGCACTGACAAATCGTGTAATAAAATATCAAATCTAAGACTGGTTTGAAGACAGCTGCAAGGTAAAATAAGAATTTGAATGATGCCTCATCATTATACAGGAGAAAACAATAAAGATTTAATTTTGTATGTGATTAATCAATTTGAGCCGAAAAAAGGCACAATGAACACATGTAGGTATAAAACCGTATCACATGGATATCGTTTTTTTTTTCTTTTCTTTTTGCCGTTAGCAATCGTCGTGTAAGTCTTTTGTCTTTTCTGTCTCGCCCGTGTGTCGTTATCATGTTCTTTTTCTGTTGTTAGTGTTGTCTGTAAGAGCCGTTTTCTACAAGCCTCGGCTTACTTAAACAGCCCCATACTCCTTACTTTCTCTTGTACATATATTGAAATACGTTTATCATTTCTCAAAGCGCATTTTACTTTTATTATTTTTGAGACAAATTAATTGATTTTGTTATTTTGCTATTTACCAGTCTTTCTTTTATTAATGGATGTATTCTATATTGGAGTGTGGAATAAATGTCTTCTTGAATTGAATTGAATACATACATTATTTCGGAAGTAAAAAAAGGTACAATTTTTCCCCATCATCCGTCCTACTTGGCTTAAATTCACACCCTTAGCGGGGGTAGGAGTTCAAAGTAATGTGACCATAAAGTCAGACTTTTTAAAGAATTTAATTGTCTGAATTCGGCAGAACAAGAGCTTTTAATGGTATAAAACATTTGGTTTGTGGGTACCTAGTTCACCCATGGGAATATTGACTGCCCACTAACTTCAAGTAGGTAAAACAAATTATTGAGAAAACGGCATTCAAAAATCCCACGTTTATTAGGCCAAATATAAAAACAAAACATGTTTAGTGTCCCCACCCGCTTCCTTTTTGGAGGCCGCCTCCTTTTTTTCTTTTTTTTAAACTGAAAAAATTATAAATTTTAAACAGTGATGTCATTTTGGCCACTTTGTCTGTTGCATCTAGCCCATGTAAAGTTGGTATGTCATTTCCTGAGTCCAAATGCGGCCATTAAAAAAACCCAACTGGTGGCCATCTTGAAAAATAGCCCGGTCGGGCGGCCATTTTGGAGAGAGAGAGAAAAAAGGGCCTCCCACTTCCTTTTTTTAAAAAGGTAGGACGCTAAACATGTTTTTTATTTTTATTTGGCCTTACAGTGAATAAACAGTCAATTAATTAATCGGCATGGCGGCCAGTAGTTTTTAAAGTTGTTTGATAGAACGACGTTACAGACAGGTTTACAAAAAAAAACAAAAAACTGGCTTATGTAAAAGATTCCTGAGCTTTTAAGGACGAAGAATCAGACATTTCCAAATTACATAAGAATTTTCCACAAAAATACTTTCGGAACCCAATTTTGAAAATCAGATGTGAGTGGGTCCTGTGTAACATTTTTGCCAATCTCGCACACCCGCCCATGTTAAGTTTTCATGATACATCAAAAAAAAATTTCTAAATCTAATACAAAATTTCTGCAATCTTAGAAAAAAAAATATATTACCACCACCCTATCACATAGGAATAAATCAGTATAATTTAAACTCTTTGATCTGGGAAAAAGATTCCACTTTTTTATTTACTTTTTGTTGTTGTAAGATTAGATTTTAGGATTAAAAACAATAGACAAATGTACTTAAATTTTGTTTCCCTGAAATATATTTTGAAGTACATCACCCTAAAGAAATGGTACAAACATGGTATGTTTGTCAATTTTTTGGCATTAATATCTGAGGTCATGAGTTTGAACTGCAATCGTGTTTTTGCACGCTAAGCGTTATAAAAAGAATAAAATTTAAGCACAATTTTTAAATAAATTTATTTCATTTTTTTTCGGGCAGTTGTGCACAATCTGTCCTGTCTTCACTCTTAATATTTAGAATAGGCTTTCAAAACTATATCTGTATCTTTAGCAAAGAAAAGAAAAGAAAAGAAACATGCATATTTAGCGGAAAAAAAAGTCTCAAAACTACTGATAACATAAGTAAAAACAAAGTACAAACATGGCTCGTCCACGTTGATCAGCTTATCTTTCTAGTGGAAAGAATGTTGCAACCTGACGCTGCTTTTTTCATCATGTATCATCTCAACGAAGGTCATTCATTGCAGAAATGATGATGAGACATGAATCTGGGACCGAGAAACATTTCCAATTTTGTTAGGAAATAAATTGTCTTGACTCTCCATAGACTTGGTACACAACCGCTGAAGTGGAGTCAGGTTGCAACATTCTTCTACTTTCTTGTTATCGTAATTGGTCACTTAGTCGTCGGCGTAGATACCCTTTATTCGCTTGTGTTGTGGATCAAAGGGGCTTATCAGGTGTAGCTTGGCTTGGTAGACCTCTTCCATTCTCTCGATGGTGTAGTCCCCTTCTGCCAGGAATTCATTTGTGACGACGTCGCCGCTGGGGTTGCTGACATAGCCGTAGCCGATGTTCTTGTTCAGGTGGTAGCCGAATTCGCCGCGCCTGACAAAACCCACCACTTCGCCGTTGCGTCTGATGCATTCAAAGCCGAGAAGTGGTACGTGCCTACAATCAAAGCAAGAGATGACCAAAAAAAAAAAAAATGAAACAAACCAACTACGACAAAGGAAAGACATCCAGGGTTATAAGCAGAAGTCCAACTTCACAAATTAGACTTGCTAACTGAAGCAGAATTTCTGTGAAACTATTTTTGCTTGCCTAAGTTTCAAATGGTTTTAACACTCAATTATGGTGGATGAGGGGGTTGCATTAAGCTTCAGTTTTGATTTTGAGTTCACCTTCCGGTATCCCTGAAAATAAAGATCTTTCAACTTCAATTTTGGACAAAAAATGTTTCCAAGGTATGGTCTACCTGATTTAAAAATATGTATGTAATAATTGATTTTTCTCATTGGTTAGAATTGAATGAACTCGGTCAAATTTGTTTTCTTCCTAAAATTACTTTTAACCAGTGCCTGACATCACAGTAATATGCATGGGTTGACGTTTGTTCCAAGTTTAAAGCAAAATTAATTAACCGTTTAGAAGAAACAGATAAACTGTTTTGTTGTATATAATGCGCCTATCAAATGTCCCCCCCCCCCCCCCCGCGCTACCCCAGGTCCGATGTCGGGATTTGGACATGTTTTTCATGCCCCAGGGTGGGGATTTTGGTCACTCAAATTACATTGTTAACATTGGCGTACTAATGGAAAGGCAATCACTAGTGCGCCCATGTATGTAAGTCGGGGCATGGTCGGGGATTGTCAATTAAATTTTGCCCGAGGGGTGGGGATTTTGTCACTTCAAAAGTGACAATCCCCACGTCTTGGGTGGGGCAGCCCGGGAGGGGAGGGGTGGGGGAAACAATTGATAGGTGCATAAGTGATAAAGATAGACGCTATCTGATTCACTCTCTTTAATACTCACTCCTCTATAGTGAAGCAAGCCCTCTTCTTTCTGATCCCCTCGGCTTTCTGCTTTTCCACAGCCCCTCTCCCGAGGAATGGAGTGCCCTTCTTCAACTTGCACACAAAGCCCAGTCCACTCTCCAGAGGGGTGTCCTCTGCTCGGAGGTCGTTACGCCATAGATGGTAGCCTGCAGAAAGGCGTAATAATTATGTGGGTCACGGGTAACAGTGTTGAATAGAGACAAAAGAACGTCTTTGTTGGAGTTCATTTTGAGATTGGATCACTTGTGATGGATGACTTGATTACAACTCTGGTACAGGAGTGCAATTGGGAACTTAGAAAAAAAACGAGGAAATTCCAAACCAAACTAGAGTTTGTACAGTGTTTTTCAATTTGTAATGGCATTCCTGAGAAGTAAGAAACGAGGAAATCAATGGATCCGAGGAAAAGTTGCATTCATGCCTGTCCGGAAAATGATGCTGAATATGCCCTTACCTAAGAGTAATAAAGTTCGAAAAGTTGAACAAAGAAATTGACTGGAGCGGGGCTTGAACCTGCAACCTTCGGATAACCGTTCCGGTGCTCTACCAACTGAGCAATCCAGCCCTATGTTGGTGGTTCCCCAATTTGTCAATATCTCTGTTCAAGGGCGCTAGTCAGAAGCAATAAACCTGTATGTGCCATACAGCCTGGGATCACGCCCAAAGTCACGAGACAGACCTGGGAAATAGCAAACAGCGATCACTCGGAGAGAATACAGCTTCTTTCTTTTTACAAATTTTCAAATGAACCACAAAGGGAACCTGACTAGGTGAATTATAACAATTGAAAAGTTGAACAAAGAAATTGACGGAGTGGGGCTTGAACCTGCGACCTCCTGATAATAAATTTTGTTCATGTTTTCAATTTGAAAGGAAACGGTAATTTGAAAAGGGATATCCTTTCCTGGCTGATATCATTTTCATTTTGAAGTGATGGCTTGTGGTGACTCTGGAAAATAATGTTGAAAGTGCCCTCAACCAACAGTCATGTTGTTTTGATTATATTATCACTTTTAAAGTGAAGATGCAACATTTGCAAACATCAAAACACAAAGTGATCAAATTATCATGAAATATCTTACTGGATTGTTAGGGAATGAAAGTGAAAAGCATTCTGTAAAATCGTGGCTCCTGGTGTGCTGACATTTTCAAGAAAACTTGTATTTTTCCAACGCTGGTCAGCCGACCAGCGTTTTTTTCAAAAACTGCTCCTAATTTTTTCATATTTAGTTATGCCGCATTTTTTTGGGAAACTGATTATGCACCTGTGAAGGGGTACAAGCCAGCTAGACTGATTCTTTGACCTTACAATTCCCTAAATCCTATGAATTGTTCCGTTTCATCTTAAGTGGGGTCAGGAAACCAGACTACAAGAATATGGTTGGTTTTCTTGGATTTTCCAGCATCTCCGAACCCTAAACGTGAAGCAAGTGAGTTTAACAATATTTGTTATAACATACTAATCCCCCGAATCCATTGATTTCTGAAAATTGCAGCAAAAGCAAAGGTTGTACATTCCCTTTAAAGAAAAATGCCAACTAGAAAATAAACATCCTTTCCTGACGAAATTCTCATATCCCAGACTCACCCTTCTCTAAACTCAAGGAGTCCAGCGCCCGGTACCCTCCGTTCACGATGCCATACTTGGCCCCGGCCTCCATGACGGCCTGGTAGATGGCAACCGCCGACTCGTTGTTGACGTGCAGCTCGTACCCCAGCTCCCCGACGAAGGACAGCCGTATGGCGCGGGTCTGGTTCCCTGCTATGTCGATCACCTTGTGGGTTGCGAAAGGGAAGGCCTCGTTGCTCAGATCAGCTGACGTCAACGACTGCAGCAGCTCTCGGCTGGGCGTGATAAAATGACGGAAATAGCCAAATTGTAGTCATGTAAAGTTTATCTTTTTAACATTCTCTTTGTTAAATCACAAAGATTCTATGACAGACAAAATGTTCGAGTACTGTACAGATTTAAAAGCAAAGAAAAACCGCAGATATCAGATTTTTATGAATCTGCAACGTGCAAATTGGCCACAATTCACAAGTAGACAAAACTTTTTAAAATTATTTTGGAATGATAATGGCAAAATTGCCTGGCTCTACTTGCCATAAGTGAAGAATCCCTGCTACAAACAGAACAAAAAATTCTGTGCTAACGATAGGCATATTGAAGGGAGTTGCACAGAAATTCTACTAGCATTAAAGGGAAGATACAACATTTGCAAACATCAAAAAACGAAATGATCAAATTATCACGAAATACCTTACTGGATTGTTAGGAATGACAGTCTAAAGCGTCCAGTAAAATCGTGGCTCCTGGCGTGCTGACCTTTTCAAGAAAAATTGTATTTTTCCAACGATGGTCGGCCGACCAGCGTTGGAACAAAACCGGCTTTTTTCAAAAACCGTTCCAAGTGTTTCATATTTAGTTATTCCACATTTTCTTTGCAATTGATTACACACCTGTGAAGGGGTACAAGCCTGCTAGACTTATTCTCTGACGTTACAATTCCCCAAAGTATATTATATGCTCCGTTTCATCTTAAGTGGGGTTAGGGAACCAGACTACAAGAACATGATTGGTTTTCTTGGTTTTTCCAGCATCTACAAGCCCAAAACGTGAAACAAGTCAGTTTAACGATATTCGCTTTCACATACTAATCCTCCAAATCCATTTATTTCTGAAAATTGCAGCAAAAGCAAATGTTGTACATTCCCTTTAATTTCAAGTTGGTAATTGGCCCAATTTTGTTCATTAGTCACCGCGGCTGCTGCGTCGCTCCACAACAATGACTTGTCAAAAAATCCAGCGTATCTCAACGGTACTGGTGGACAAAACTGTCTTAAACAAGTTGACACAACATCTGACGATTGACTTGTGTCCATGCCTGTATCTGGTAACCTATGATTCTACACTTACAATTTTGGTGCAACATTTTCATGCTTACAATTTGCTAACGCAAAATGGTGATCACAAGCACAGATGTCTGTGATAAGCAGCCACCAATTTGGACCAAGGTCACAAGTTTTCGAAAAAAAGTACCTTTTTGGTCCTTGTACGCTTAGAACTCCCATGTCCTCCGAGTGGTCCAAAATGTTGCAGTCAAATCGCTCATCCTGCATGATGGTCCTCATGTGCGTCTTGGCGTGTTGGGCTACACCCCCTCCGGCAGCCACGTAGAAGCCCTGCCCATCAAAGACGGGATCGATGGCAGAGCCCGTGCCGCTATCCATGACGGACACCGTCAGGTCCATTTCTACACCCCCGGCTTTATTCAGGGCACAGGTGTACACGGTAGAGCCTAGGGGGTATGGGGGGGGGGACAAGTGTGTTATTTCTCATAAAAGTGGAATATGTTGCTTTGGACTTTGAGGCTTGAGCACAAGTATCCTCTCAGTGGTAGAAATAACAGTTAAAAGGTGAATCAGTACTAGCTTTTGCCCTTAACCGATGTATAAACACTGTATACTCAGTGTGTTACCTCCCGAGTCAAAATTGGAAACAATCACTCGGGTGGGACTCGAACCCACGACCTCCTGCTTTTTGGGCAGACATTTTACCACTCGACCACCGAGCTTGTGAGATCAGTTTAGCTGGTTCGAATCTGATGTACATTCGAATCTGATCTTGATTCAAACTTTCACTCGAGAGGTAACACACCGAGTATACAGTCTTCATACGTTAGTGAAGGAAAAAACCTAATATTGTTTTACCTCACCCCGACACAAATTCATCTTGTGAATCGTATAAACACTGAATACTCAGTGTGTTACCTCCCGAGTGAAAGTTGGAAAAAATCACTTGGGTGGGACTCGAATCCACGCCCTCCTGCTTTAAGTGTCGACGTTTTACCACTCGACCACCGAGCTTGTGGGATAGGTTGGCTGGTTCGAATCTCATGTAGATTCGAATCTGATCTTTTTTCCAACTTTCATTTGAGAGGTAACACACTGAGAATACAGTGTTTATACGTTGGTGAAGGGCAAAACCTAATATTGATTTACATCACCCCAACGGAAGTTCATCTTATAAATAGTTAAAAGGTGGTTACCATGTACACTGACCAGCGAGGTAAGTGCTCCCAATAATCCTGCTTCCCATCCCCATTTGAAAAAATAGGCCCACTCACTTGTGAATGGGGGCAGATGTTGAGCTACCCCCTGCTATTTCTGGTGGGTATTAACAACTTAGTCACTGTATCGCCCCAAACCGCCCTATCTATAACTCCCTGTGACGCCCAAAATTATCTGAGCACTCTATGAAATTATGGATTCACCTGCCAATAAACACAAGGTAATTCAATGTAGCACAGTTGCTAGTGGGTTAATAATTTCTTCATGTAAACTGAGTAGCAGCAAACATTATCCAGCATAAAGATATGATCCAATAGTTCTATACAGGGTGGTCCAAAAACCGGAACGGTATATACTTCCACTACCTTGAGACTCAAATCACCTGTACCAATTGATGGAGAATCCTTTTAGAAGCAGAATAATACGAAAATCTCCTGATTCGGTCCAGTAGTTTTTGCTGTAGAGCCTGTTTTGTGAAGCGCACTTCTTTCATGTGGGTATCATTACATAATAATCCCTCTATCAATTACAATGTAAGTCAAATTCCCGGGCGCAGTTTAGTAATTCATCGGAACAAAAATAACCTTTCTAACCTTGCTTCACTGAATAAAAACTCCTGAACAGAATCGGGCGATCTTGGTTTCATTTTTCTTCTAAAAATATTCTTCACGCATTGGTATACGTGGTTTGAGTCTCAGGGTAGTGGAAGTATGCCATTCTTGTTTTTTTTGTGGATCACATTGTATAGATGTCAGTTGACATTTGACCTACCCACGGGTTTGGACATATCATTGGTGAACATCCAATCAACAGCTTTCTGTGCGTCCGGCCCCGTCACATAGAACTTGCCAAAGTACGACATGTTGAAGGCTGCAACGCTCGTCCTACACGTCATGCATTCATTCCCAATCTGTGAATAACAAACGGCAACATTTGGTCTGTATTCCCGACCCTATAAAACAAGACTATAGACTTTGTTCACGAGTCGGCCATATTAAATTGAAAGCGAGGTAAACTCTTCACTTTTTGGGACTTGCAGGTAGAAATGAAAGCAATGAAATAAAAGTTACTTACAAATGAATACCGGTCAAATCTGATGAATAATTTGGGATTAAAAACATGTTTCAATGTTTTAAGCCACGTTCAAAAAATAAATTGTGTGGGTGGGTGCGTTTGTTTATAGTGTACATCGAGGACACACACGTGCAACATCGGCCAAGTTCGGGCAAGGACCATTAGTCGACTAGTGGTTGATTTGTGCGAACGTCTCTAGTCAAACGCTGGTCAAAATTTCATCGCAAAACTTCTGGATCCTGGCTCTCTGCTAGCGTTATGGATGCCCGTGGCTATTGGTTACCAACGAAGCAACCAACCCCAGTAGGCTGGTTCCAAATAGTTGACTAGCGTAGTCAACCATCGTCGACTAGACAGAGTTCGGGCAAACGTTATTTAACCATTGGTCAACTATAGTCCTTGCGCGAACTTGGCATCATCGGTGAATAAAGGACAGAAACCAAATCGAGGTCGTTAGAAAACGTGTACAAAAACCAATGAGAGCTGTTGCGAAACAGTTAGAGTACAAACAGAGGAAAAGGGAAGAGGAACAAAAGAAAATCCTCGATTTACACCATAAACAAACGTGGGTGGGTGGGTGGGTGGGTGAGTCGAGTCGGGGAGGCAGACGGTCAGACAGTTAGGCAGTCAGTGAGATAGGTAAAGAGGGAAGGCTGGCACTCTGGATGATCAGCAATTTTATGCGGATATAACAATTACATTAAAATTCTTACAATATCGTGATGCTTGGGGAAGTCAAAGGTGTAATCATCGCCCAGCAGTTGTTTGTAGCGGTAGTTTTCATGCTCTGGTGTGCCGTAATAGCCGTAAAAGTCATACTTCAAAACCTAAACAAAAAAATCAAATTATGTGTAATTATGATTTCTGCATATGTATGTACATCAATGAGCATATCTTATTATGATAAAGGCACACTGAAATACTTCAAAACCTAAAAAAAAAAAAATCAAATAATGTGTAATTATGATTTCTGCATAAGTATGTATATCAATGAGCATATCTTATTATGATAAAGGCACACTGAAATACTTCTCTTTCAACAGCAGATTTTGGAGCAAAATGGCAGATTTCCATTCAATCACATTTTTATGGGTGAAAAACTAAGGTAGATGTACATGTTCCGTATGTATTACTATTGGAAAAAGACATCAGGGGAAGGTAACAAGACAATGGATAACAAATAATTCTAACATCGCTTATTTGAGGGGAAGTGTGGCCTAGCGGTTAGGGTTCATGACTCATGATCAGAGGGTCAGGGGTTCGAATCCAGCAGCTGGCCATATGTTGTGCCCTTGGGCAAGCCCCTTCACCCCCACTTGCCTCTCTCCACCCAGAAGTATAAATGGGTACCGGCGTTAGCTGGGGAGTAACCTCCGATGGACTGGCATCCCATCCAGGGGAGAATGGAAATATTCTCAGTCGTTTCGTGCCATTGAAACCGGAGATAAACGCCGGCCTGATGGGCCATATTGGCTCGGGACAGACTTTACTTGTTAGTCACTCACAAGTTGAATCCTGAGACAATAAGGTACATGTACCAGGGGATGACCAAAGACAAAGGAATGAAATTCCTTCAAACTGCTTCCGACTTGACTTGAGACTGAAAGACTAGGAATTTACTTTTATGTAGACTATAATTCTGTCTGTTGAGTACTACGCAAACTCCTGCGATGGGGAAAAAACCTTGTCCTCTGAAGCTTTCCTAATTGAATCCCCACCCTGTGATTTGTGGCAGATTGCTCTTATTGGCATTCAAGGCAAATTTAAATTTTACAAAATATTTTAAAAGTTGAACAGAGAAATTGACTGGAGCGGGGTTTGAACAGCTGAGTTTGAACCTGTAACCTCCGGAATACCGTACCGGTCCTCTACCAACTGAGCTATCCAGCCCTATGTTGGCGGTTCCCCATTTTGTCAATATCTTTGTTCAAGGGGCGCTAGTCAGAAGCCATAAACCTGCACATGCCATGTAACCAGGGATTACGCTCAAAGTCACAATGCTAGCAACATTAGCAATGCTACACACCTGGGGAATAGCAAACACGGATCACTCAGAGAGGATGCCGCTTTATTTTTTATTACACATAATCCCTTGTGGTCTATGTGATTGAATATTTATAAACATAATAATGTAATAGTTATTACCGGAGCAGGGCCATCTGTTGCAAACCAGCCGGGCCGTTCCCATCCCAGCCGCTCCTGATAAACACAGCCTGCATCTTCCAAAACCTGCAATTCAATTCAAGAAAAACATGAATGTCATCATCTCGTGAAGGCTGAACGAAGGAGTTAAGGAGGGAATAATATATTGTTTTGGGATGGGGGGGGGGGGGAGGTGGCTAATGCTTTTGTCTTACAAACCCCCCCCCCCAGACTTTCAAGCAGACCCAGGTGAAAAAAGGAGAATAGTAGGATCAAAATTTCCACACAAAAAAAACAGGACAAAAGTAGGACTTTGGAGGACAACATCAGGACTTTTACAGGCTTTCAAGAGTAGTTTTTCGTTGATCCTCATCGTTGATGTCCACAGCATCATAAGCCTGACTTGGCATGTTCTGTGCTCACAACACTTGTGCTCCATCCTCAACTAAGCCCTTGGAAGTGCAGTTGCAGTACTCCTGCGCCCAAGCCCTTCGTTGTGTGATTTACATATGACAGTGTGCAACACTGTTGACAGTGTGCAATACCTGATTATTCTGAATGACCTGTCACCCATATCATTGTGTGCATGCGCAGCTGAAATACTTGGTACTTGGTTGGTTCTTCTCCTAAGGACTTCCACAAGGGAGTATAACTAGGAGGCCAAAAAACACCGGGGCAAACCCCTTCTCTTAGCGATAAGTGTTCTTTTACTGGGTTCTTTTACGTGCATTAGGCCTTATAAAACACACGGGATTTCCGGTTTAACGTCCCATTCGAAGGACGAAGCAATACTGGTTAAGTGCCTTGCTTAAAGCTACAGTCCATCATTTGTAATTTGTGCATTTTGTTCATTTGAAGCAACAAAAGAGTTCAAAATCTAATGAAGGATACTGAGCAACTAACCTGATGAAGTTTCAGCTAAGCTTCAGCTGTACATTCCAAGAAAAACAGCATTCTAAGATCTCAATTTCAAATCAAAAGTTACTGAATCATGTTTTGAATTGTTTTGAATTGCAGCTATACGCGACGTCGCGCACTGATCCGACGAATTACAACAGCCGCGCGCGCGTGTGCGTCGTTCCAATACTTGTGCGCGCTGCGCTGAATAACAAAACGAACTACTAATTTAAATTTTCCTACGGTGCTTCTTAAGAATCACCGTTGGAAATGCCTTCTTTTGTTGATTACTTCAAAATGACAGCTTCCCAGAAAGAATAATTTCACAGGGAGTTTAGTTCCCTTACTATCTTTCAACCAAGTTTGTTTTTCAACAATAATTACGCTAGTTACTTTTCGGATGGCTGCAAATGATGGACTATAGCTTTAAGGGCACAAGTGTCCGGGCCCGGGCTCGAACCCACGCCACTGTTGCCTCTGAAACACCAGAGCATGAGTCCGGTGCTCTTAACCGCTAGGCCATGACACTCCACTAGTGAACTGGTTTAGTCAGCCACCCCTTGAGATACATTGGACTTCAACCCTTCAGCCATCTGCCAGTGCAGTACCTTGTGCAAGGCATCCTTCCTCATGTTCCTACCAGCCAGAGGCTCATCATGAGGGAAGACAGTGGAGTAGTTCTTGGCATAGGCTTCCTGACTACGCTCGTCCACCCAGGCGGAATTCCTGCTGACCTTGGGGTCAAACCGTCTGCAAGAAATACAAAGGACCACAATTAGAAGCCATTTCCGATCCCGCAAGCTCGGTGGTCGAGTGGTAAGACATCTGCACTAGAAAGCAGGCGGTCGTGGGTTCGAGTCCCACCCAAGTGATTTTTTTCCAACTTTCACTCGGGAGGTAACACACGTAGTATACAGTGTGTATACGTCGATGAAGGGCAAAACCCAATATTGATTTACATTTCTAAGATGACATGCATGCTCAATGCTCACTTAAAAAACAGGGCTTTTAAAACTACACAACTCCAATTCAAGTAAACATTGATTGATTTGCTTTTTTTGAAAATATTTTCGTTTGAAGCAAGAGAGTTGCTCGAAATCATAAGGTCAGTCGGACATCATTGGAAAAAAACCCTGACTTTTTTTCATATACTGCCCCCTATTTACCAAAATTAATCAGTCCACACTGTGTTTGCAAGCGGTTACACGTCCATAAACGGGTGTAAACCAGCTAGTCTGGTTCCCTGACCAGATAATTCCATAACGTCTATAAATTACACCGTTTTTGCTACAGAACTATTGGCCGTGTCCAAATTACCTGGCTACGGCTTGAAATTACACACGGGCCTATGGGATGAGGCTTCAGCCGCTACCATAGACTTGTCTATGGGAAGTGGCTGCAGCCGCTACCATAGACTTGTGTGTAATTACCAGCCGTGTGTAATTCGGACGCTGCCTTAGTCTTTGCTTTATAGCGGCTTTGCCCCTGACCTGATGTCGTAGCTGTACATGTCTAGCTCGGGCCTGCCATTGACAATCCAGTGGGCCATTTGTTTGCCCGTTCCGCCGCCCAGCATCAGACCGGAGCTGTTCATAGCACAGTTCAGGTAGAACCCCCGCACCTCGGGCGATTCCCCCATCAGTGGTTTGTGGTCCGGGGTGAAAGACTCTGAAACAAGGACAATGAAAAAAGTTTTTTTTCTGACATTTTTTATCTGATATTTTTTTTCTCTTCACGTTAGATGCTACAAAAATGCCTTAACCCTAACTCCCTAGGGGGTGTGCAAAATCGTATTAAAATTGAAGGATTCAGGACTGTTAGGGCTATTAAAAAAACAAAAACAAAAACCAATAGTTTTCACCCCTTTTTTGGGGATGTAAAAATTTTGAGCAAAAAAAAATATATTTACCCACTGGGGACCCCCTATTGTCCCTCTGTTGTTTGTACTCTGAACTTTTTAGGAAGACCTCCCATATGTTTTGTACACAATCTAAAATGGGGACCTCTCGTGAATTGGGGACCCTATTGTCCTCTATTGTTCAACACCCCCTATTGATTGCAGAAACAAACTCACCCACCCACACACCCCTTTTATGTTTTAAATGTAAAAGGAAACACAACTTTTATTCTTCGCCTAATTGTTTAACTGTCAGTGCTAGTAATAATATATTTCTTGGCTACTGAGATGTTCTTTTCAAATAGTCCACTGAAGTTTTATTGCAGGAAGGGGGTGGAAAGGGGATTTGCTAATTAGTCCACTAAAATAAGCTGTACAGATAACAGATGTTTAACAAATTCAGACTGTTTCGATGATCCTACAAAAAAAACCTTATGCTTTGACTCAAGTCTGGTGCCCAACCTAACTAAAGTGCATTACTCTACCAAGTCTTACCCGGTCCACAGACTGTTGACTTGATTCCCGTGGTTTCCAACACGGGTATGCGATTCACGCAACCGTCAATGTTGAAACCAAAGACGTCCCAGTCCAACTCAAACAAGGAAAAGGCAAAGTCATTTTTCACCTGTCCAAAAAAAAAAAAAAAATAGAACAAATAAATAAAAATCAATCAATCAATAAAAAACTAACTAAAATAACTTGATTGTCTATCACAGTGAAACCAGCATGATTTTAAATTAGTTCCCCAAATCCTATGAAAAAAATTGCAGAAGTGAAGGCGTGAAATCATTTTTTAAGTACATCAAATACTGACTGTGGGAAACTAACTACATGTAGGTGCGGAAAACTAATACGGATAATACGGAAAACTTGACAACCAGTGCTCTATGAAATGAGCCATAAAGCTTGACATGTATCTTTCAGTACTTTGCTCAATGTGTCAAGATCTTTCTCACATGACTTGAACATTCAAAATGGGGAGACTGAACAATTGAGAGATAGACATCAGAGGTCCATTTACTTCAGATGGTGGAGCACTAAAAAAGAATCCCCAAGGTCAAAGGATGAAATCTCACTTCCCATCTGAACATTTCCCTTAACGCTAACGTACCTGAATCCATCAAAATCCACACCCTGTTTTTGGAGGATTTTGGCAGAATCAGGATAATTCCATATTGAGAAAGTTGGGGGATTTCGATGGATTCAGGACAGTAAGCCTAGCGGTACTGCCACATTTTGATGGATTCAGGATACCTTCATATTGAGCAGTTGGGGGACTTTGATGGATTCAGGATCTCAACCGATTTACTTCCGGCTAACTGGCAGTTTCTGATGGACTCACTGGCCACCAACATTTATTTTTGCATGGCAAAATTGATGGATTTTGGCGGATTCAGGATACTTTCTAGTAAAATTACCCAAGGGGTTAGGGTAAATGTTAAGCATCTCCAGATTATGAAGGTTCATGCAACAAACCATGAATAGTTCTTTGACTCATAATATTTGCAACAAAAATACTGCAGTACTCTGAAAGTCTGGTCACAAGGATAACAAAGTCCATCTACCTCCTTCCAGAAGATTGGGTTTGGTTCGTAGCCACCGAAGGCCAGCCCATCCCCCTGGACCTTGAGGTAGACTGAGAGGTCGTGGTCGCGCACGTTGGGCAGGCCGTGGATCCCCTCGATTCTCTCCGACACCACGTAGTGATGATGCATGGGGGTGAGTGGGACGTTCACCCCGGCCATCTGACCGATGTATGGTGCCCAGACTCCTGCAGGTGACACAGTGCACAAATAATGCATGCAGGAGGATATTAAGTGGGAACATCAAGACACAGACTACCAAAACAAAGTAAACTAGAAAGCACTCGGAGAGCGCAACCTCCGCCAAGGCTGAACAATTCCCTGACATATTGTTTGTACATCCAACACGAGGAACTTTTAAAATGATCAAATCATGTTCTGAAATCAAAGGGCAGAAACACTCTGTATTAATATGTATTGTTCCTTTGTTGAATACAGAATTATTATCAAATGCATCTAGCAGAATTGTGCAATTTCCATAGACTCACTGTTTACATAAGGGTTGTAAAACAGCGGCATACAGCTAGCCACGAGGTCTGTACTTAACTCTAGAGGGACCAGTGTCCTCGTGTATAATGACTTTAACATACACGGCCTGTCACTTGCACTGTGTGCATGTTATAAGGCCCAAAAATGGATGGGCCCATCATTGTGGGTTTTTTTTTTGGGGGGGGGGTGGTTCATGGTATATGGCATATTTGTACATACAAAATGGTGAAGAATCCTGAAAATAAATACTGTATCTGGATCATGTCCAAAATCTATTTGGTCCGTACTTGTAACACGGACCACCCTCCAAAACGAATTTCATGAAAATCCGTCCATACCTTTTTGAGTTTATCCTCTTAACAGACAAACCAACACTGATGAAAACATAACCTCCTTGGTGGAGGTAATAAATACAATTCTGCATCAAGCATTTCAAATAAAATTGGCCCCAGTGACTTACCACAGGCGTCGACTACAGTGGACGTCTTGATGGTACCGGACACCGTCTCCACCCCCTTGACCCGCTTCACCCCGTAATCGTCTTCTCCTACCTGGATGCCTGTGACTGGACAGTTAGTCAGTACCTGACACATACACAGAAACGGTAATATCATCTGTCTATAAGTAGCTATGTCCTGAATGAAATGTACAGGGTTAGTAAAAAAAAGCGGAACCTAAACCCCAAAATTATATTTATATTTAAAAAAAATATGTAGCACCAAAAATAATAATGACTGGAAAGCCAATTTCATAAGCTACTTTTAGATGAAAAAAACATGAAATTAGTTAATCTGTTCAAAGAATATCACAATGACCCTAAACCTGTCTCGTCCCAAAAATGCCATTTCAAGAATCGTCGTCACAATTGTCTTCAAACATCACCAGCGATAAAATCTCAGTTTAAACGTTCAAAATATTCAACAAAGTCCTTTTGAACACCCGTCTTTTAAAAAAAGTACATTTTATAAATAATTTTATATATTAATTTATATATATTATAAATGTTTGCCTAACCAGGGTTGTTAATAAAGATATTGTGTACCAGTGTTGTAGCGAGACCGGATAGTCCGAGACCGAGACCAAGACCGAGACCTGAAGTTGCGAGACCGAGACCGAGACCGAGACCAGCCCCTTCAAGGCGGACCGAGACCGAGACCGAAATGGTCCGAGACCGAGACCGAGACCGAGACCGCGGATAATAAATAACAATAATCTAAATAAACAACAAGACACTAATTACAGCTGAACAGTCTGTCCTTGAGATGTTGATGTTCATGGGGATGTGAAGGAAGTGATTGAAAGTTAGGAATCACTTGTACCTGCTTAATTGTGTCATGCGAGTGCTCTTCGTGTTTGCTTCATGCCATAAATTACAACATGGCAACAGAATTTGTTATTGTCACTATCAATTAAAAAAATTGGAAACAACCTAATTTAAAGAAGGGGAAAACCTTATTTGATGAACTCCATATATTTTTGCCACTTTAAAAAAACAACTTTTTTTAAAATATTGTTTGACTACTATAAAGTGTAAATCTGATGAAGAAACTCTAACTTAGGAGTACGACAATTTGTACTAGTTTTTACAAAACTTGAACATGTTGAAACTTGACAAAAGTAAAAAGTTAAAGGTGGATATTTCATCTGTTATAGGAACTCGGACCCTAAACTCCACAGCCACCCCTTGGTTTCAGCAATGACCACTAACAGATATTTAAGTGCAACTTTAATTTTACATTGGACCTCCTTGTAAACCTGATTCGAAAAAAATTTGGAGCAAGAAAATATTGATTCATTTTTTAAAATGTCAGTCATGGAATATAGATTTGTACATGTAGTCCAAAAAAATTGAGAGATGGTAGCCAGATATGGATTGGTCTGCCCCCCCCCCATACCTCTTTGTGATTCTCCTTCCAACCCTGCATGTTTGTGTGTCCCCTACATGTTTGTTTCTTGTTCCTCTGTCATTTACCTCTGAAGAAGGCCTGGCTAAGGCTGAAATGTAATGCCACTTTATTTTTGTTTAATGTCAATAACGTTACATATACTATAGCAGATTGATGGACCATATTTGCCTGATCTATCTTCTGCCCGCCGTCATCATCGTCATTAGCCTATTTGAGAATATGGCCGACACAATAGAAGGGCGCTGTCACAAACTGAATGTGGTGGGTGAGATGTACTTTTAGGGTGGGTGAGATATACTTTTAGGATTCATGGCTCAGTGCCCATGCCTCTCTGTGTTTTGTACCGTGCCATCGTTTCGCCCGCATCAGCTACTTTGCTGGGCAATTTACTTGAATATTTTAGTGATTAACAAGTACGACATGTTGCCAATTTATTAATAGTTTATTGTGATGGCCGTAAACAGCATATAGCGATTAATGGAACACAATTCTTCTCGACCCATGCAAATGCAATTGACATTTAGGAAGGAGACGAGGCGGGCAATTAGACTCTATTTTTGTGTGACCATGGCAGTAGCTCAATTTGTGTTTATCATGATGAAAAGATGAATACATGGCGAGTCAAAAAGAAAGTGACCGTATGATAAAAAAAAATGGCCCGCTCCATTTTGTAAAAAATATAATTGGGATAAAGAACATGTTATTGAGTAGTAACTGTGAACATTTCACGTAATTTGCATACTCTATTCCCAAGTCGTGTCTATTTTAATAAAGATATCACAAAATTCAGCTGTCCACCACTAATACCAATTTAACGGTCTACGAATTGATGAATATCCATTTATCAATATGATGGAAGAAAAAACGTTTTCCCGCCTCCACGAATAAAGGAAAAATTGAAAAAGAAAATAGAAAAAAATCACCAATATTTCTAGGGAAAAAGAGTTGAATTGTTCCCCATATTCAAAATACAAAATCTGACGGTAAAAATAAGTTTCAGTCTTGATTCATAAGATTTAAATCTCAGTTGTATTTGGAATCAATGAGGATGGCTATAAAGTGCTTGTTTCAACAGATCATCCCACAATAAAAACGAGAAATATAAGAAGAGGAGCAATGGTTATTGGACTATGCCTCACTCACTAGAAAGTGAAGAGAGACATGTCCATTAGCATCACACTGCAGTCACATTTGCCCTAAACTGATTCTTTACTTAACCCTAAAAGGGCCGGGGGCGGAATCCACCCCCTCACTTTTTGGCTGGTCTTGACTCGAGACCAGCCAAAACATCGAGACCAAAGGGGACCGAGACCGAGACCAAGACCGAGACCACAGCTCCCGAGACCGAGACCGAGACCGAGACCGGCAAAAAGTGGTCTCGAGACCGAGACTGAGACCGAGACCGGTCTCGAGACCTACAACACTGTTGTGTACTACAGTTGGTGACAGTTGTTGAAACAAGTATTCTGTGTCATTTTCTTTGTTGTTCCAAACAGTCAAAACCCACAATAACTTGGTTTTTTTTTAAGGAGAAAGGTTTTAGGGTCATTGCGTTTAAATGGTGATATTCTTTGAACGGATTGAGCAATTTCAGTATTTTTTTTCATCTAGAAGTAGCTTATGAAATTGGCTTTCCAGTCATTATTATTGTTGGTGCTACATATTTTTTTAAAACATGAAATATAATTTTTGGGGTTTGGGTTCCTCTTTCTTTGACTCACCCTGTAGGAGGAGCTTTGTGACATTCTCATGGCGGCCAGTGAAAAACACATACTTATTCATTTGGATGAATGACAGACAAGGTGCCCCCCCCCCAAAAAAAAAAAATCGAACCCTCAAAGCATCCTGTTTGTCACAGCTTTTTAAAAATTTATCAGAAATATTTTGAAAAGTATAGTGCATCAGCTTTCTGCAACCAACAATAGCTTTTTCAATCGTAGAAATATTTATGGAGTTATGACCAATTCAAACACGAGTCGCTTTGTCATTTGTCCAAGGTTTTATTTGTCATTATATTAGGAATGTGGTGGGTTTGGTGTGAGGGTAGCTTTGCTTTCTGTGATTTTTTGGCTTTTTTGCAAATTTGCGAAAAAGCCTTTGTTTTTGTTCTGAAAATTGTACACTTCCTTTCATCAGATTGACTTCAAACTTGGTACAATGACGAAATGTTACTAATAAATAAGCATAATACGAAAAAGCCCCATGTTCTGTTGCAAATAGACATAATATATTGTTTATTTATAAGATATTGTATCTCTAGTTTTTCTTTCTTTCTTTATTTGTTTTTTTTACTTTTTTTGTGACAATGGTCATTTCCTCTTTTTGGAAGAAATGGCAAAAATTGACACGCCAATGTGGTAGTATTATCGTTCGGACCTTCATGAACAATTTGAACAGCAACTTCCGAGATTTGAATCTTGGGGCTGGGTTTCTTTCAATCGGTTACCCAGGTCCCGCACTACCCGTTAATGCAAACCGAGCTCTTAAACCCAATGCTGGGTGTGCCCATTGGTCAGACTTCATGCACAGGAACGGACAGCTCAGTTGGTAGAGTGATGGCAGTACGTTCGGCAGGTTACAGGTTCGAATCAAGCATCAGTTTTTGATAGTCCACTTAAAACTTTAAAATGTAATCTCAGAATCTTGTCTTACTTTAGCACCGAGTTTTGTGGCTCCCCGTGTCAATGCAGAGCAGAAACCTGCTGGGTCAATGTCACCATCGGTGGGGGAGTACAGCGAGCCGTAGATGTCCGATGTGTTCATCAGCGGAAAGACCTTCTTGGTTTCATCCGGCGACAGGACGTGAGACTCGATACCGAACACCTTGCCCAGCTGGAGGAGGAGAGGAGTACCAGAAATACACAATTCATCATTCATGTGAAAACAATAAATTTGAAAACAATTAGCTTTTCTCAACGTAATGTTTTAATCAAATATACAATATTTGCTTTTGCTATAATTTTCGTTCGTCACTTTTTGTCCGTACGGTAATTCAGCAGATTATCCTCGCCGCGCACTGACTGATTGCTTTGCAGTGCATGTAAAAATCAGCACGAACGGCGACCTCATGCGGCCACTATTTATGAAAATCATTTGGATCTACACTAAAGCCTTGGGCCAATCGTCAATGTGAGGTTTTCTAATTGATCAATCGTTGCGTGGAAACTTGCATGATAGTTAGTGCGCGGTGAAAGGTCATATAGCAATAACGTGTGACATGAACTGTACATAATACATATACACACGCTGTGTGTCTCACATTACAATGCCCAAAAAATATGGTTTCTGACACGTCCGCAAAAGGGGAATAGCTGCAAATAATTTGATGACGTCGGGATTTATCAAGGTGTGATCGGACACTCCACATATGTGACCCGTGTTCTGTCAAAATCAGACTTTTCTGGGCATAAGGTCGAAAATGATATTTTTACATATTGTTAACATATGTTCTTTTTCCTTTTAATAGGTGGTTTAATTTTTGAAACCGGTCATTCCTGGGCAGAGTTATGCTATTTTGAAGTTCATTGTGTCGAAAAGTAGAAAACGGAGAAAATGGCCACGAATGTCACAAAACAGTTATTTCTTTAACTGATATACCTTATCAAAATCATCAAAAATAGTATATGTAGAGTTCAAATTAGGGTTTCAAACTTTTATAATATATTTTAGACATGTTCAGGATTACAAATATGCAAAAATTTGAAAATCGATAAAGATCACCCCCACAGCGTTTTTTAACCCTATCTCAATTTCAACCTCTGCCCAGAAGCGTCTGCTTTTGACAGAACAGGTCACATATTAGCCCTGCCTACACTTATCTATATTCACATATAAGGTCGTGCGCTAGAAATCTAGCATAAAATAAAGAAAAACATAAGCTTTCGCCGACAATTGGACCAAGGCGTTTGATCGGATCCAAATGATTTGCATAAAGTGGCCGCATGAGGTCGCTGTTCGCGCTCCATTTATAATGCACTGCATAGCAAGGACACGTGGCCGAACACCACACCGACAGATAATGATGAACGCCTCGACCAAGGCTGGGCAAAACTAGACTATGCACACTCACCGTTGCAAGTCTCTTGTACTCATCCAGACGTTCCTTGTTGTTGGCGACGAAGATGCCTCCGTTTTCTTTCCAGCCTGGCACTATGCCTGTCTCCGGTTCCAGCACGTTGCGGACCAGGTGAGCCATGTACATCAACAGCTGCACCTCCAGGTCCGAGGGCCTCAGGTTCCAGACTAGACCTATCGAAGAAAGGCACAGGGAGCAACCATGACATTAAAAATACAATAGGAAGCTCCAAAAGACTTCATGGGTGGACAATAGATGGTGCTTTAATAATAATAATAATAATAACGGAGTCTTATATAGCGCATTTTCCAACAATTAGGTACTCAAGGCGCTGGTTATTATGTCTATTATTAAAGAAAAGTAAATAAAGTATAAGAGAAATATGAGACCCATTATGTAGCACCTTATAAGGGTTGACAAGGTGCTGCGGTGCATATTGCAGCCACTGCCAGAAATACCGGGGCAAACCCCTTCTCTTAGCGATAAGTGATACTGGGTTCTTTAACGTGCATTACACAACACATGGGACCTACGGCTTTACGTCCCATCCGAAGGACGAAGCAATAATGGTAAAGTGCCTTGCTTAAGAGCACAAGCACCATGTTCCCACGGTCAGGATTCGAACTCATGTACCACGGCACACAAATCGAACACCGTATCCATTGGACCACAGCGCCCCACATGAAGCAATAATGGTAAAGTGCCTTGCTTAAGAGCTTTGCCACCAATCACTACAGTGGGAGTCAAAAAGAAACTGACCTGGATTCATGAATTTTTTTTCTTAAAAAGCAATCAAATTTGATGCACCAATGAAGTATGCCTCAAAAGAGCATTTTCTTATGCCCATCTGAAAAAAAAAAAGAATTACTGAAATTGATCCATGCTATCAGAAGTTATTTATGTTTTACTGAAAGAAGCTATTTTTTATAGCTGTCCATGGCATGCCATTGGAAGCAATTGAGCAGAGTGAGAATTACAGATTACACACAGAAAATGCAATTTCTCAAATTTTATGGATCACTGATGGCCAAAAATAGCTATATATTAAAGGTAGAGTACACCATTTGTAATTTGTGCACTGTGTGCGTTTGAAGCAACAAAAGTGCTCAAGATCTAAAGAAGGGTGCTGAACAACTAACTTGATGAAGTTTTAGCTCAGTGAATGCTGTTTATTAAAAAAAAAACAATATTCTATGGTTCCCGATTTCAAATCGAAAGCTGCCGAGTCATGCTTTGAACTGCGCCACAATTCAGCATCCGGGACACGTTCTTATTCAACCGATTGCAGCTACGCGATGTTGCTTCTTCCTATAGACCTGTGTCATATCCAGCAATAGCCAAGTAACTCGGACACGGCTTTAGACACATTTTGGCCATGGCCTTACCTCCTGTGTGCCACGTTGTGCCAGAGGTCAACTGGTCTCGCTCCACCAAGACCGCGTTGGTGACCCCCATGTGGGCCAGATGGTACAGCGTACTACAGCCGATGGACCCTCCCCCAATGACCACCACATCCGCAGAGGCCGGCACCGACGCCGGCCGGGTCTTGTCGGCGCTCTGCAGGGTCTCGTACGGGACACCGCCCTCGGCTTGCTGGCTGTAGTGACGCAAGCTGCCGGTCGCCAGCGGCCTTGCGGATGCAGCAACAGCTGCATAGGGCCGGGGCCTGATGAAGCGTGAGGTCCTAGCTAAAGACCGCCACATCTTGATGTGCTTCTATTTGAGTCTTTGTTGGGACAACCTCTCAGTGTCAGTCCAGTCACAATCTAGTCACACCTGACCTAAGGAACAAGACAATTTTGTCTTAATTACTTGCATGTTTGATAGTAATATGAAGGACGAGAAAAGTTGCAGAGGCATTTTAAATTTCGAGATAAAAAATGTTACCGTACCTCATACATTCATGAGTAAATACCAAATTTGTACTGGTTCATTCACCATCACGTGGGAGCCGCTAGTTTTGCTAATTACCAAGCGCGCACGCGAGGATTAACGCAAAGCGTAAATATGCATGCGCAGTTATGGATCGAGGCATCTTCCGACTAAGAGTGAGAGTCCCCTTCATATCCATACCCTCCCAAAATCCATACTACCATACAACCTAAAACCTGTGTTCGGGTTTCAAAAAAGGATAACTCGTGGTTAAGGGCATTGGATTCGTGGTCTGCAGGTAAAGCTGCAGTTTGTGGGTTCGAGTCTAGCCTGGGGTTATGGTGTGAGTGCCCTTGGGCAAGGCACTTTGTCACGCATTGCTTCTCTCCACCCAGGAGTAAATGGGTACCTGCGAAGGTACGGGCCATATGCGCTGTTACTGAGCTGCTGCTGAAGTGGTCTCGTGGCCTGATGAATAGGGGTAATAATTGAACAGCGCTTTGGTACACCTTTGGTACAACGCGCTATATGAGCACCGCATTATTTATTTATGTAACTCATGATCCATATAGATCACACTTTTCTAACCACAATGGAGAGACATATAACGGATGATTAATTATGTACAATTCATAAGCATACATGTGCCATACAAGCGTGACTGCTAATGTAGGCCTACACAACTACTGTAGCTCCCAGGGAACAGAAAATGAGGAACACATCAACTGAACAAATATGTAAGCATACTCCCCTCTTACAATTTCGTTAAAAGAATTCCTGCAGTGCAAAAATAAATTGTAGGCCTACATGCTGAGGACCGACAACATTGCCCAAATTAAGCATAAATCTATATTACAAACACTGATCATGGAGGTAACACCGGCAAACCATGGACAAACCAGCCACGACCAGTCGACGACCAGTTCAGTGCGGAATGACTTAGTGAACATCATTATGCTCCGGTATGTATACACTGATAATCTTGCTATGCATTCTGATACCAAGTGGACTTTGGCCCAACCAACAAGACCAATGCAATGGGTAAAGCATACAATAAAAGGAATAGACTGAAAAGGCTGAATACCAGCTGTACATCCAGGGCACATACTAATGTAACAAAAAATGTTTGAAGTGCTCTAACGTCCCACTGAAGTGAGTACGCAAAGCCAATTTTGTTCCCGGCAAAAGGACGTAAGGATTTAACATGCCGCTTAAGCGTACATTTAAGGTTTGGGAAGTTCCCGGTAAAAGGTCGTTAGCATAAAAATTAAATAACTTCACAATTAAGTAATATTTTGACATAAAAATGCACAGTATTACTTTAATTTTTAACGAATGTCATCAGTCAAAATTTCAACCTTATGTGATTTTTAATCAAGAAATGGCAGCACAAAAACTTTCAACTGGATTATCTCCAAAAGTGTTTTTTTCGTGCCTGACCTGCTAGCGTCCTTTTCCTTGTCACACGACGAAATGTTTATGTCCACAGTTTACAATATGGTGTTGGGATTTGCAAGTCCCTAGTATTGTAGTAAATCACCAAAGCCGATTTTCTTTCAATTGACTGCTCTAAATTAAAGGGGCACTGGGTCCTGAAATCCCCGATTTGTTTTGGATTGTTTACTTAGCCTATTTCAAACATCTGGTTGAAAGGAAACCAACCTAATATTTTACCGTTCCCGAGAAAAGACGAAAAACCCCGCTTGTTTACATCGGACATGACGGAGTACGAATACGTTTTTCGTGTCGTTCTCAGTGTACGCTATACACGTGTGTCTTGGGAACAGCGCGCGGTGACCAATCACCAATGCAAAAAAAATATTGTGGTTTCTTCAACGTCCGCAAAAGGCGAACACTTTACACGTACGAATGAAATCACAACTAGCATCCAAACAGCTCGAATTTATGGGGTCGCAAAAGTGGACTCCGAAATTCGTTCTCGCATGCATAATACAGGAATAACACAAAAACGCCCAGTTTTGAAAGGATAGTTGTGTGGATGTATATCCTACTTTTAAATGTTATTTCCGATTATCATCATCTCGTTCAAAGCGCGTTTTGTAGCCCAATTGGGCTCTTCCAGGAGCTAGTGTCCCTTTAAACAAAAGGCGTGTCATGGCCTTGCCGTTAAAGAGCACTGGACTCATGTTCTGGTGTTTCAGAGGCAACAGTGACGTGGGTTCGAGCCCGGGCGCCGACACTTGTGCCCTTAAGCTAGGTACTTAACAATTCTTGCTTCGTCCTTCGGATGGGACGCAAAGCCGTAGGTCCCGAGTGTTGTATAAGGCCTAACGCACGTAAAAGAACCCAGTAACGCTTATCGCTAAGAGAAGGGGTTCGCCCCGATGTTTCTGGCAGGACGGATGTGTATACAATATACATCAAGGTTGGTGTGATGTTTCCCCCGGATGCTTTGCCGACTATATGATACAGATACAGATAAGGAAAGAAAGTTGCAACCTGACGCTGCTTTTTTCTTCATATATCATCTCAATGAAGGTCAGTCGATCATTGCAAAAATGATAATAAGACAATAGACATGAATCTTGGACTGAGATAGCCCCATAATTTATGTGGCGAATTTACTGGACTACCTCCGTAAATAAAGGCCACACTTCCAACTTTCCAAGCCTTCTAATTCTAGAAGTAGGACTGAGAGTATTTAGCTCTAGTCCCATAAATGTGAAAATTAATTAAAGATCGAAATTATTTTGTCACTTTATACTCACACAATGCCGTCTACAACTGCTTAATATGTTGCTGAAAATTTTTAAGTCCAAACCAACTACCCTGTTGCCGGCTACGAGGCTACGATTAGTGGGAGTCCTTGTATGCTTGAGAACGAAGCAACACAAAAGTAATGGGAGTTGCTGAAAAAATTCTAAGTCCAAACCAACTACCGTAGGCCTACCCTGTTGCCGGCTACGCAGATACAGACTGAGTAGGAGTGCAGTGGAGCATGACGCATAGTACATGTAGTGAGAGGCATCTGATACAATGTCACCTTTTTTGGTGGCTTGTTTTCTCCCTGATAAGTACGACCGGAACCTGCAGTCCAGCTCCAGACCACAGACACCAATACTAAGAAGCTTTTTAAGAAGTATGGTGTGATTGACCGTGTCAAACGCCTTCTTAAGATCTAGGAAGACTGCACCTCAAGCCCGCGGGAACGGGGGGTGCTAAGGGTGCTGCAGCACCCCCAACTTTTTGGACTGGGGTGCTGAAATATATACTCCCGGGCAAAAATGTGTTCCAGCCAGCAGTGTTCTACGACGTTGAAATTGCGCCGCTGCGCTATACATTATGCTTGCTCTACTAATATCTCCTTCGTTTTGTTCATTTCTAGTTTTGCCCCGGCTAACCTCGGCGCTTCGAACGTCTAGCACAAAGTAACACTGTAAAATATCCAGAGGAGGTATTTTCTAAATCTTCAGGCAGTGCAGAATCGATATTTCTCTCAATGTATCTAAAATCATTACATGTCTATGATATTTCCGCCATTATGGAAGTTTGACCCGAAAGCAATAACCTCGGCCATGACAATGGTGGCAAAATTGATTATGCTTGCCAGGATTTTTTTTTCATTCGATCTTTCAATAGGGGCAAATGTCCATGAAGGTTTTTCTTTTCATTTAAAAGTTTCATTGACGTTGCTAGCATTCTGTACTTTAACAAATAGCAAGGTTCACACACATCCCAACATAATAGGAGTGGGACGGGCTTCCATTGAAACTAGTTCCAGTGTAGTTTCGTTTTAATAAAAAAGCTATTCATGTGTTACCCTTTGCAAGTTTTTTTCTCATAAAAACTCAGTAGACCGATAAATCCTTGCCTAGCCCCAAACTTGCCACCTACCGATCATAAACATAAAGATGCATTTGGTCTGTTAGTCTTTTATATTTGCCATTCCCTGTAACAAACAAATAACACTGCAAATATATCAAGAGCTACATCGTTTAGGCCTATGTGAATATTTTTATGAACAGAAATTCACCCGCTTCCAGTGGAACCATTTTGTTTTAACTTGAACCAAAAAACATCCTGTCGGGTTTTATAAGTTTAAGTATATATACATTCAGTATATTTCATCACAGTGCATCCAGAATCCAACATTTTCAGGGAGTGGCGTAGCCACGGGGGGGCATGGGGGGGGGGGGCGACAGCCCCCCCATGAAACCTTGTCGCCCCCCCAGTCGCCCCCCCCCCCCCCCCCCCACTGAGATTTTGAGTTTCTAAGAAAATTATCATTGATCTACATGACGCCATGGGCGTCAATCCTGGGGGGATGGGGGACAGGTCCCCCCCCCCACTTTTTGAAGGGTGGGGGACACAATATCAAAGGTCCCCCCCCCTAGATTTTTGAACTCGTGTCTCATTTACAGGGCCCTATTATGTACTTCTTGAAATGTATCTTTTGCCAAGATAATTATTGATTAAAGTGGTAAGAAATTGCCTCAGATCACACCACAGAGTATCGAGAATCCAATTTTTTCGGGGCCCTTAAGCGGGCCCCGAACCCCACGCCTATAGCTCAGAATACCCATAGCTGATTCAATGACTCCAACCTCGAAAAGGAAGTTCAAATAATTATATTTTGCTAAGAAAATATTAGTTAAAGCATGGAGGCAAGTGGTAAGAAATTGCTTCAGATCACACCACAGAACATCTAGAATCCAATGTTTTTCGGGGCCCTTAAGCGGGCCCCGAACCCCACGCCGTAAGGGCTTCGCGCTTGCATCAGTTCTGATCAAGGTATGTCCACCCCCCCCACTTTTGAGAAGCGATTGACGCCCCTGCATGACGCCCCCCCCCTATGAAATGTTCTAGCCCCC